CAGGGAGGGAGTCAATATGGTAACTATTTTTGGGTCAGGATTATCTGGTGGTGAAACACTATTTTGCTTAAATGGTTATGTTTTGATCTGCCCTGTTTCACTGTTATGCCCTCTTTTTTCTCAATCTCCACTCCATTATTTACTTTTTTATTTTTATCCATTTAATTAAAGGGAAAAATATAGCAGGATATAATATAGTAACCCACTTTGACTTTCTATTATCTCGATTTGAAGCCCTGTATTACTCTCACCATCTTGTTTTTGACTGAGGTTCCTCTATTCTGTTTTGCTGGATAGTATCAGGTTCGAAAGTTTAGGCATCAGCTGAGAAGATAATGAGATTCATTATAACGCCCATTCTCATTGACTTTTATCTACTTTTGAAGACCTACAATATCTCCAATGTTTTGGTTTTGTCGGTTTTATTCTTTACGGTTTTGTTCAATTGTATTACAACTAATCATATAGGCAATTCTATTAGAAATAGCGGGAGGCATTATGGTAACCATTGTTGATCACCTTGTATTATGTTTTTATATTATCTATTATGTCCACCCTTTTGACTTGACCGATTCTGTTCTGTTATGTCACATTTGGTTTTACTCTCTTCCAAAAAAGCAATAAGAACCGTGGGAGCAATGAAACTCAAAATGTGTAATAGTCACTGTACAAAAGAGAGGAAAAGAAAGTGCTCTAAACTATATAACTGCATGTATATTTAAATGTATAAGATAGAAAATGATATCACAGAGTTTTATTGGATCATTGAACAGAACTGTTTGCAGTATCATTGTTGGAATGTCCACTCTACAAGCTTTAATTTTGTGACTTGAACAATTATTTCTAAGATGGCAATATGTAATCCATTAACTAGTGATTTCCTACTGCGCATTTTTTTCTTCTGTAAATCTGTATAACTTGTACCCCTTCACTGTTTTTTTTTCTTTCTTTTCTTTTCTCCTTAAATAAAAATAAAAATAAACAAACAAACAAAAAAGAACTCAATGGGAAATTTTTATAATCTTATAAGGTTTTTGTCAATTTAGATTCTCATCAAAATTGTGTTAAAGTGCACGTCTCTGCATTCTTGTTAGCATTATGCATGATACTTTCAGCTTTGTTAATTTTACTTGCAAAAATGGCATTTTATTGTTTTGCTTTGCATGAATACTAATGAAACTGATTTTTTAAACATGTTAAGTGTTTCATCAGTTGTGAATGGTCATTTCTTAAAACAGGGTGTTCTTGTATTTAACTTTTTACATTTTGAATAGGTGATTCTCAGAGGCTTGTAAGATTTGGAAGGTAAAAAAGGGTATACAATAGTCATTAATTCCAGTTTTATTTTGTGTTCACTGATAACAGTTCCTTGTTCTTTTAGAGACAGCCTGGGGTTTTACAATCATCTCCACACTTGTTTCTCTTGTCACAAATGTTAGTGCCCTATGGATGCTCTTGGGTACCTTGGAGATCCTTTCACTTTAGTGCATAAATATCTGTTTCTGTATTTTCACTAGCTACTTAAGATGCTATATTCAGATGTACCCCACGTGATAGGAACTTAGATGGTTTCTACATGTCTGCCATCATAAGCATGTCACATAAGATATGCCTTGAACTTGGGAGTGTGTCTTTGAAGGGAAAATTCCTAAAAATGAAATTCCTGAGTAAAGTGTATGTGTGAAGTACTAGAGACTGAACTCAGAACCTCAAGCAAGCTAAGCATCATGCTCTATGATTAAACTGTATCCCAGTTTACTCAACTTTGATGTTCGTTAATTTGGTTAGGTAAAAATGGTGTATCATAATTTCAAGTTGTTCTGTCATTATAAGAGAGATTGAACATGTTTTCTTATGTTTAAAATCCATTTGTGTTTTTTTTTAAATTATCCACCTATATTTCGTGCCTACCTTTTGCACTGAGCTATTAAGATATAGTTTGCTGTTATTGTTTTAAAGAAGTTCCTTACAAAGTAAAGTGGACATTTTTGATAAGAATTTTTCAGTGTATTTCTAACCAGTTCCTTCAGCTTGATCCATTTGAGCCTGTGTCAGGCCATCTACTTTTCCTTGGCTTGCATAGTGGTCTGCTGGTTACTGTTCTACCTACTGGTCATCAAGGGTGTGCTAGCTTGGGCTTGCTCAATTTTATCTCCTAATTTACCTAAAAGCCAATGTAATTTCTACCTCAATTTATTTTTTCTCCATGTGTCATAGTTTCTTATGAAAGAGAAAAATATAATATATTATATACTTGGGTAAAAGGTAGTCCTGTTATCCATGTATCTTTGACTCTTCCTCAGTGAATAATAACACTGGTCCTGTTTATGAAATTGTGTTTATATTCTCCCTTGGCTGTTTTTCACTGTGAAGGGTGCAATATCTCTGCTTGAACCATTCTGGATGATTGAGATTTACAAGGTATAATTGAAAAATATGACGAATGTTGAAAGTTTTAAAAATTTATTACAAGTTGAGCATAGTTGTGCATGCCTGTAATCCTAGCACTCAGGAAGCAGAGAGCAGGAAAATCACTGTGAGTCGAGGACTACCTAGGCTAAAAAATCAGTTCAGGGCCAGTCTGAACTACATAAGAAAACTTTGTCTCAAGAAAAGTAAATAAATAAATAAAAAGTTTATTACAATGAAAGAGACATTTCCATTAATCTTCTGCAAAACTCTTTCTCTTGCTTTGACCAACTCACCCATCATTCTTGCCATTTTCTAAAGCAGTTTTGAAAGTCTTCTTCTACAAATGTCTTTGATCATGTTGTCTTTACTGCCTTGATGTCATGAATCAATTCAAGACATCTTTCATGCTCATTTTGACTCTGGAGAAGAGCCAAATTCCCACAGTGCCAAATGCTGTGAAAAGGTGAAAGAGGGTCCACCATCATGTCTTTTTGAGCCTACCTTTGCTTTAGATGGCACTCAGCAGAGTACTCACTGATTTTTTTAATTATCCCTCATTAAGACTTAGGAAAGATGACTTCCAGAATTTCTTCAGAAAATGGCAAGAATGATGGGAATATTTTGAGGGGGATTAAAGGTGATATGTGTCTTTATACAGTAACAATTTGTATTTCAACTCATCGTATATGTTTTGATTACCTCTTGTTTAAGAATAAGTAGAGAAACAGGACATGATAGTATATTCCAGCACTCTGTAGGTGAGGCAAGAGGATTTTTATGAGTTCAAGGCCAGCCTGAATTTTACAGTGAGATCATGTCTTGTACTGTCCTCCAAAAAAGAGACCAAGTGGATATAGATGGGTGTAAAGAGAAAGGTCTGAGGGAAAGAGATGTGGTAATAGATAGAGAACTTCACTGAAGGCTGAAATACTTGTGTACCTCCTCAGTGGAAGCGGTAGTTTTCCTTCCTGTTGGATGGTGGTGGCGGCGGGGGCTTTAGCACAATGCACTATGGATCATGTTTAACGGTCTCACCTTTTTTTTGGCTTGAGGACATCCCGAGATGAAATAGTCACAGTTATTTGAAATATTACTTTCAAAGGTTATGGGGGACCAAAACTGGAACCAATAAGGAAAGAAAGGGAAGAGTGCCATCCCAGTTGGAACAGAAGATCCTTCTTTTAAGCAGGATGTTAACTTTCTTTTTCTTGTTTATTTGAAACAGAGTCTCGCTATGTAGTGCAGGCTTGCCTTGAATTCATGATGTAGCCCAGGCTGGACTCAAACTTCCAGGGATCTTCTTGCCTCAGCCTCCCGAGTGCTGGGATTACAGGAATGCACCACCACACCAGACTGCAACTATATTAACTTTCTATTGCTGAGTAACAATAAAACTATTTGCCAAGTTACCCTAAAATTTAGTAGCATCAATAAACATTTTAGCTGGGTGTAATGACACACCCCTGTAATTCTAGCACTCTGGGAGGCTGAGGCGGGAGTTTGAGCCCAGCTTGGGTAATATATCAATTTACCAAATCCCTGCCTCCAAAAAAAAAAGCATAAAAAGAGCTAGAGATGTAGCTTAGTGCAAAGGCTTTGGGTTCAATTCCCACAATTACCACACACACACACACACAACTGTCTTATAGTTCATGTGGATCAGAAATTTGGGGTCTACTTACCTACCTTCTGCTTAAGGGTTTCTCATGCCTGAGGCTAGAAGATCTGCTTCTCAGGTGCCTTTTTCACATGGCTATTGGAAGGAAGAGTCAGTTTCTCGCTGACTTCTGGCACGAGGTCTTACTTCCTTAGCGAGCAGATCTTCCTCTCCATAATTTGAATGTTCTTTTGACAGGGTTGGTCATTTTCCCCAGAGCGAATGATGTCAGAGACTAAAGAAGAAAGAAGCTGTGCTGGCTTTTATGACCTAAATTTGGATGACACATGTCATTCCTGTAATTTTCTATTCATTAGGGTTAAGTCACCAAATTCAGTCCATACTCAAAGTAAGGGAACTAAGTGTCCCATGCTGAAGGGAAGAATATCAAAAAATTGTGGACATGTTTTGAACCCATCACATTTACATTCCTTAAAAACATTTATCATGGTATACTTTGAACTGTATTCCATTTTTTGAAGTTTATTTCATACTATGAGCTTTATCCCATTGAACAACAGTCATACTTTGTTGCTTGACTGCTTTGAAACTCATCAAATTTGGTATTCTACTCATTGGGACAAGAACATTTCATCCTGATACTTGTCATTTGTTTGGTATTCAATGTAAAAACTAGTACTTCTGTTGATGTTGATGGCCTTGAGATTTGCTACCCTTTCCAGAACCTCCCCCCCAAAAATAAAACAAAAAAATGTGATGTTTATCGGTTTTGGTAGTCATTGAGCCTCCTGGAACCAATCAACAGGAACCAAGGTACCACTGTATATGTATCCATTCACTTCAAAAATTTATTAAGTGCATTATCTGAATTACTATATCGAATCTTTGCATCTGCCACTGGAGACCATTCTGTTCTAAGAGCCTTACAGAGAATGAGATACCCCTGACAGTGTTCCTTTCCCCTTCTCAGGTGCTCGTTGGGCTTCTTTTTATTCTGGCGGCCATAGAGCTGGTCCTTGCACTCACAGAAGACTCTGGACAAGCCACGACTCCCCCTGTGAAATATACCAACCCAATCCTCTACCTGGGCACGTGGGTAAGGCTATTGCCACTTCTACCCTGTTTATCTTCTCTCTATGCATAGCTAAAATGTACTTTTGGAGATAAAATTTAGTCCAATTTCACCTACCTTTGTCAAGGACTTTCAGTGAATCAAAACTTGCTTGTAATGGATGAAACAAATTTTAGCTTTTTACCTTTTTCTGATTTTATGCCCTCTATTTTGTCATCTAAGGATCATTGATGGAGTCCAAGTTTCTTAGAGTAAAATAATTTTAAGTGCTATAAATATTATTTTAAATTGATTGGTGACTGATCAGTGGGTCACAGAGTCTAGGGCTTTTGTATAGATTTTTTTTTTTTGGGAGAGGGCTAACCAGTGTTTTAAAAACAAATTAGTTGTTACCATTTTAAATGCTCGAATGAGAAGGGAACATGGAAAGAAGGAGGGAGAAAGGAGAGAAGAAAAAGAATAGGAGGAAAAATTGGAAGCAAAACTTTTGTAAATAAGGAGGCAAAGAGGAGTTGAAGGGCAGGGAGGAGAATGGGGAAAAATGAGAAGCAAGATATATCATGTATAGGCACAAATTTTGTGTGATGAATATTATCATTCTCTAGATCTAAAATGCACCAATAAAATTTTAAAATGCAATAAAAAGAAAGAAAATAGCACATCATTGTTTTGATTCATAAAGTTTCTTAAACAACCAGAATATCCAACAACCAGGAACCTACATTCCCACAGGGCTGTGGCCAGTTGAGACTGAAAAGCTGCTGCCCCTTTAGACCGGGCAGTTGGCACAGCCCCTCCCCATGCTCTGTTTGCCCTGCCATTATTAGTAGTGTGAGCTACTGGGAAGCATTTTTGTTTGCTACCATTGTAAAGGAACATGCAAAGAGGGGTGTAGACAGTGGTGTCTCTTAATCTCACACAGAGATGATTGTGTATATCTCTTTCCAAACTACATTAAGTGACATCATGTTGGAGCTTGAAATCTACCCAAGTGGGAGTATGTACACCACGAAATTGGCATATTCTACAAATTAGCTTTTCCCCTGGAGCACTGGCTTACTAGCACAGTACAGGTTAGGAAACTAACATATATATGTGAGATGACTCAAGGCAAGATTTTAGGTTTTTAAATTTTTTAATCCAATATTTGAAAAAATCAAGATATAGACAACTTATATCTAGTCATTAGAATCTGCGTCCTCTGTTGAGCATGATGGAGCACACTTATAATCTCAGCACTCAGGAGGTGGAGGCAAGAGGATCACCATGAATTTGAGGCCAGCCTGAGCTACATAGAAAGAGTCCATCTCATAAAAAACAAAATCACATGAACAAAAGTCTGCATCCTTGACCTAGTACCTGAATTGAATTCACTGAGTCTTGAAAAGATCTTCTTAGCGTGCAAAGTAACTTCACTGTCTTGGCTAACTTCCCACTTGAGTGTGGGAAACAGAGATGAAGCTCTGAAAGACTTAGACAGTATCAGTGAGCAGATGTAGAGGTTGGCATTTATGTGCTCTCTGCTTGGCCAGATTAGTTTCAACAATCTCCTCCTTCAGCTTTCTTTTATTCCTTCTTGTCTGACTTCTTTCTCCCCTCCTGTCCTTGGTTAATGATGCTGTTTTTCAGAACTTCATATAAATTTTTCTCTAGCTCCTGGTTTTGCTGATCCAATACAGCAGGCAATGGTGCGTGCAGAAGAATTCTTGGTTCCTGTCCATATTTTGGATTCTCTCAATATGTTGTGACACTTTCCAATTTCAGACTCTTATCCGGGCACTCCTAAAGGTAAGGAGAAAAGGGTGTGACATGAAGATGTATTGCTGGACAAGTTCTTTTTCTTTCTTTCTGCTGTGCAACTTCTAACTCAGAGTCAATGACATCAAGTCAGTTGAGCTCCAGGATAGAATTATACTGGGGGAATTTGATAATATGCTTTAATCACACACACACATACACACACACACACACACGTGTGTGTGTGTGTCTATATTTATTTATATTTCATTTGTATTTATATATTTAAAAATAAATAAAATAGCTGACCTGGGCTACAAAATTAAGTTTATGTTTAATTTGAATAAAAGGCTTATTTTCTTTGGGTCTTTTCTCCCCATAGGACAGCAGTTCCAATCTGGCCTATTCCTGCCTGTTCTTCATCTCTTATGGATTCCAGATCCTGATCCTGATCCTTTCAACATTTTCAGAAAAAAATGACTTATCAAGTGTAAGATTCTAAATATGCCCATTTTGTATATTACTTAATTGGATGATATCTTAAAAATTAAACTTTGAGATGTCTGGGTCTTATGGAGATCCCATAAACCTGAAATAAGTTACATACAGAGGAGCTCTAACATGAGCATCTGAAATCTGAAATTCTCTGAACCCAAAATTTTCAAAAAATCTCTGCAGTGTTGCAAAAATCTAAAACACTTCTGGTCCCAAGCATTTTGGATAAGGGATACTCAACTTGTAATACAGAATATTTTATTCTTAAGGATACAATGGTGAACATATTGAAATACTGACTTTTATGTTCATTCACCAGTTTTTGGCATATGCAATTAATTTATAGATCTAAGCCAGAAAATCTGATTATCCTTCTGTTAATGACCTTATAGTCTCCAAATAAATATATATATTTAGCACACCATCATCTCCAGAAAAATATTTCTGATTTTAGAGTCCAATAGTTTCTCTAATTTCTTTTTAATTTTTCATATCTTTCAGAATCCATCATCCACAGCTTCGTTTTTGAGTAACCTTACCTTTAGTTGGTTTGACAGGTAGGAAATGCCTGGAGTATGAAATTTCTATATTCCTACTTTCTCATTTTTCTGAAAATGAAAGAAAGCTTAATTTTTTAAAGAGCCTCCTGTGGACCCCTTTTCTCTTCTAGTGTAAGAAAATGTTGAAACTTACAGGTTAGTTTAATTCATCCCCTTCATTGGGCAGATTAGTCTAGAGGATGAAAGGGACGTACTCTTGATAGCCTGAGAGTTCCACAGGAGAAAAGAAGAGAGACAGTGGGACAGGAAGAGAGAAATTTGAGGCAGGCAGTACAGTGCAGATTTGGAAGATAAGAGGTGAAATAGCTGGGCTGGGCTACCAGGGGGTGTCTGAGACAGATATCCTTGACCTTTGTAGTTCTGTACCCTTTGGGAGCCTGGTGAAGCCCATGAACCCCTTCCTAGGTACTGGGTTTTTTCCCCCTTTATTTTAAAGGGGATAAAAAAGAACACTAAAATGAAACCAAACCAAAACAAAACAAAAGCAGTAATAAGATAGTAGGAGATCCATAATAGTCACTATATTGCATGATGTTATCCCCTAAATAGTTGCTCAGACTACCAGCTTTAGATTTCCAAAGTCAATCAAACGATATAAACATTAGGTTGTTTCATTACTTCGGTTGTTATCATCTCAGCCTGTGTTCCTCCAAATCAGCCAGTTGCTTATGGGGAGTGGTTCTTCTTTCCCAGCCCCGAGCCAGCTGGCTTATCATGTAGGGAGAGTGACCTCCTTCCTGTTTCTCCCTGGTTGGCAGGGCCAACACTGGCATGTGGGGGACTGCATAGCTTCCTTCCTGTTTCTCCCCTAGGTACTATTTTAAAAGCATAAAATATGCCAGGGCTATAGCTTAGCAGCATAAGCATCTACCTGGCAAGTGCGAAGTCTTGAGTTCAATTATTGGTACCAAAAGAAGAGAAGCATAAAATAAAAGACATGAATTATAAAGGAAATAAAAGATACAGACATTCCTTATTTAACAACCTACCTGATTAATGACCATTCAGACTTTCAACTGAGTCGTACTGCTTGGACTTAGGACCTATCTTTTGTTTGTACAGTTCTGTACATGTTATTTGATAGAGCCTCAGTGATGTTTTTTGGTATAGTTTCCCTTGTTTATAACATTTTATTTTTTTGCTGATTGTACTGTACAGTACTATAGTTTTATGTTCTGTCATGCATTATAGAACTACATGTAAGAATTATGTAAATAAAAGAAAAGTCATCCAGTTGGAATTTCCTTTGACCATTTCTTCTGAATGTTGTGATGTACATACAATTCCTCATTTAGCAACTAGTTCATTGAATAACCTAGTCACCAGAACTAAACTCTGTTGTTAAACAAGGAATGTCTGTGTTGAAATGTAGTAGTTATAAAAATGTTTCACACCAGGCATGGTGGCACACACCTGTAAACCCAGCATTCAGAAGGCTGAGGCAGGAGGATGACTGTGAGTTCAAGGCTGGCCTGAATTTAAGACCCTGTGTCAAAAAAAAGTTTAAAAAAAGTTTACAAAATTTGTGATAAAACAATAAATATACTTTTAAATCAAAGCATTAAACAATAAGATGTGGCAATGGGTCTAAAAATGATTATAATTTTAAAGTCGTGATGGACATAAGTAAGCTGTGGAGGCATCTGTGGTTACCCCTGGTGACAAAGTCACCATATTACACTCATGTTAAGAGGAAAGGTTAGTTCCAGTTGGAAGCTATTGCAAAGATTTATTCTGCATCCACTTTCTTAAACCCTAGCTGGATTCCCCTGATCTAGGGAGGTAGAATAAAGGCAGCCATGCGATCTGCTCTGTTTCATAAGGGCATTCCAACAGCTGTGCAGGGCAGAGGCAGCCAGTGCTTGCAGAGGAAGGAACAGGAGTGGGGACTGGCGACGATGAATTTTTGGCTCTTCGTTCCACAGGGCTACGACCTTTTTCTTGCCAGCTGTCTTTTAACACACTTCACTGTTTGCACACCCTTCCTTTTCTGTCTCTCCCCTCCTCTGCCGTGTTCCAAGGGCAGGATGCGCAGGTAATGGAGCAATGCAGAAGTCTCACTTCTCGGCCCTCCCTGCCATCTGGAAGGCAAGGTTTGACACAGGCAGCAAGGATCTTCTAATGCAGCCTATAGTGTTTCAGCCTAGGGTCGCTCTTGTTTCAGCATTGTTCTGAAAGGTTACAAGAAACCGCTGACGTTTGAAGACGTCTGGGAGGTTGATGAAGAGATTAAAACCAAGTCTGTGGTGAGCCGGTTTGAAGTATTCATGGCAAGCCAGCTACAGAAGGCCAGACGGGCATTCCAGAAGAGACGGCAGAAGTCCCAGCGGAAGACTGGAGCCAAGCCACGTGGTTTGGACAAGAACCAGAGCCAAAGTCAAGATGTCCTTGTCCTGGTACCTTTCCCATTAGTGTCTGTGTATTCACGGGTTTTAGTCTAATGTCTGTGTAATGTGTGTCTCAGGCAAAAGCAACGTTACATGATTTTTTGTTCTTTTATTTGTATAGTACTTCATACTTTTCAGTGTGTTTTATATTATTGTATCATTTACAATATTAGTAATAGCTTGGTGATGGATACATGAAAGGTGGAATGTATTATTTGTCTCCTTTTAGGTATATTTAAAATTTTCTATCATAAAAAATTTTAAAATAATAGTCTGGCTCTACTAGAATTTACAGCTTGATGAGAGCATTCACAGCTAATTTACTTTTTAATTCACACAGAAATGTTTATTGAGCAGAGTTGTGTGCCTGAGTCTGCTCTAGGCACTAAATGAAAGGGACAACCCTGCCTGAGTGCCCATCTTTAGAGAGCTAAAAAACAAACAATAAGCCAATACATATATTGAGACTAATAAGCACAATTAGAAAAATAAAAGTGGGAGTGGGGTGGCACATGTCAGTAATCTCAGCACTCTGAGAAGCTGCAGCAAGAGGACTGGAAGTTCAAGCCCGCCATAAGCAACTTAGAGACCTAGCAAGACTCTGTCTTAAAGTAAAATAAATAAGTAAAATAGACTGAGAGAGGCTGACAGTTGTCCAGGCAAGAGAGATTGATTAGATGGAAACCCAGTGAGAAAAATTATGAGAGGATGTGAGTGGTACAAAAACCTAGAATCGGGGTGGGGGGTACAAAAACCTGGACACTGGAGCTAAGAAGCTAGAATTTAGGGTTATGAGGAGGCCAAAAAGAGACTGAGGAATGAGTCAGTATTAGTTTCCTAGGGTGCCATAACAAAATAAAGATAGTATCTGGGTACTCAGGGTTAATTGGCCCTGGAAGGCATGATAACTAAAATTGACAAGTACCAAATGAACTATTTTAACTGGAAATGATAGCAAATCGTGGGCTACTTAACACTGAGGGGTTGTTGCTTGCATGTGAAATACCAAACAAATGAGGAATATTGGGACAGAGTATCTGAATCAAAATGCATCAAGTACCAAATTGAAAGCAGTGAAATACCAAGATATAATTGTACCACAAACTGGAGAAGTTAGAACGACAGAGGCTGAGAGTGTAGCTCAACGGCAAAGTATTAATATGTGGGAAACCCTGGCTTTGATGGCCAGTACCACATATGCGCACACACACGCACACACATACACGCACGCACAGACACACACACTCTACCTGCTAGTTTTCAGCTGAAATCCTGGACCTTCCTGGGCTTGTAAGTGAATCATTCAAATTTTCACTTCTGTTTTTACATGGGCATCTTCTATCTTTATCTGTCTTTTCTGTTTTATAAGGATACCAGTCATACTACATTATTGCCTACTTTGGTGATCTTATGTTAATCTGATCACAGCTGCAAAGACTGTTTCCAAATAGGAGCCCATCCCACAGTAGAAAAAGTCAGGACTATAAATTTTTTTGGAAGGGGAGTACAATTCAACCAATAGCATCTTTCAACAACTACAAACAAGAAAAGAACACTCAGTCTCTCTCTCTCTCTCTCTCTCTCTCTCTCTCTCTCTCTCTCTCTCTCTCTCTCTTCTTTCCCCCCTCTCTCCCTCTCTCCCTCTCCCCTTCCCCTCCTCCCCCCCTTCTCCCCTCTCCCCTCCTCCTCCCCCTTTCACCTCCCCCTCTCCCCTCTCCATCTCCTTTCCTGGAGAGTGAACCCAGGACCTTCATACTGAACTACGTTTCCAATGCTTTTTAAATATGTTTTTGTTTTGCCTTTTAAAATTTGTTTTGGGGGGCTGGGGATTTAGCTCAGTGGCATAAGTGCCTGCCTTGCAAGCAGGCAGTCGTGAGTTCGATCCCTGGTACCGATAAAAACGAAAAAGACAAAAAAAAAATTTGTTTTGGGACAGGGTCTTACTACGTTGCTAAGTAGTTTGGGTTGGGCTGAAATTTGTGATCCTCTTTAAGAGTGCTGGGATTACAGGTGTGGGTCATCATGCCCGATTGGTTCTTTGTTTCTATGTAGTATTCTTACTGTATTCAGAAATACATTTCAATATGAGTTAGAAGGGAAAGAGAGGATAATAGTACTGAGGAAATGAAGAGAAGAAACCTAGACAAAGAACAAAACAAGCCTCACAGACCCTGCAAGAATATTAGAGCTGTTCAGGGCTGGAACAAAGTCTTATACTGTACAATTCTACTAACACTATTGTTTTCTTTTGTGCCCAGGAAGAAACTAAAAAGAAAAAGAAGTCTAAGACTACAGAAGACTTTCCCAAATCCTGGCTGATCAAGGCCCTTTTCAAAACTTTCTATACAGTTATTCTGAAATCATTTATACTGAAACTAGTACATGATATCTCTTTGTTTTTGAATCCTCAGCTGTTGAAGTGAGTGCCCAAGAATTAGGTTGTCCTTTAAGTGTCTATTCTGCCACTTTTGTTTTTGCCCCTTGTATGTGCAGCCAAGAGTTTTTATAAATTCCCAATTTAAAAAATGTTCATAAATTTCTTTCACTTTACAGCTTTGCGTTTAGGAAGAACGCAGAGCATTTTTAAACATCTAATTCCTCTTTCCTTGCGGTACTTCCTCTACATACTTACATACTGGTTAGATCTTTTACTTATTAAACAAAACTGCTATAGTCTGGGCCACAACTAAGCAGCATACCTGAGAGAGTGTCTTCTCTCCACAGCCTAAGAGGTTCAGGCTAATCATAATGAAATTTTGCAATGTATTTTGATCTGGAATGAACCACCACCAAGGAAACGCTTTTAATTCAAGCTGGCTACACATCTTAATTTTCAGGCTTGCATTGCCTAGAAATAATTTGCTTGGCCCAAACAGCTTCTTTCACCAAGAAGTGAGACATGACAAGACCAAAACATTGAGGTGCCAGCTCCCTGCAGAATTTCTTTCACTGCCCATTCTCAAAATTATGAATTATTTATCCTAAGCTGTTGCTGCCCACCTCTAAATAAAAGCAAGAACATTGTCAAGATTCTGGAACTTAGGTTTTTCAGATGCACTGCTCAGTTCTGGTCATTTTGGCGAGGCAGGCAGAGAGTGAGGAGCCCGCGAGGCCCGGTGAGCGTCACTTACTCAGTTTTACTTTGGCAGATTGCTGATTGCCTTTGGGAGTGACTATGAATCATATGTGTGGATTGGATATGTCTACACCATCTGCTTATTTGTTGTGAGTTTGCTCCAGTCTCTCTGCCTTCAGTCTTATTTTCAATTGTGTTTCATGCTGGGAATGAGTGTACGGACAACCGTTATGGCTTCTGTGTATAAGAAGGTAAGCAGAACTTGTCAGATACAGTATTATCAAAGAAAATCCTCTCACTAAATATAAGCATTCATCCCAACATGAGGAAGAATTATGGAGATCATAACTGATTCCATACTTAGTTTTATTAGTCACACAGACCCCTTTAGATGGTTCTCTGGAAATCAAAATATGAGGAGTGCGTTCATAGTGAGATGCCTTGCGTCTGTGAGGAGAGGAATGCTGCCCCGGGGAGAAGCCGGCCAGCTGCCCGGATCTGCCTTTCTCTCCGCCTTGAAGCCTTAGACACCTGCTCTTCTCTCTAGTCTGTCTCTTTTAGTTTCTTGAAGGGTATTGATTTTTGTTTTGTAGTTTATTTAAGTTTATTGGAATGTCTGAGGTAAGCATAATGATCACATTCCTTATAGGAAATTGGTCCCTGTACATGCTATATCTTGATTCCGCTTTGCTCCCCATTCGCATCTCCTACTTTCAACCCTCAGTCTCTCTTGACAAGGTGAAAATGTGATGGGAAAGAATGTAACGTCATGAAAGAAACTGGCCGAGGGTGACACCTCGAAAGTGTCAACATTTAACCCAAACATTCGATGAAACATTGTTCAGAGACTGCGTGTCTCCATTTCTATTTACAGTTTTCCAGTGAGACTAGAAGCTCTGAGGACCAGGGCTTCATCTCCCCAGAGTAAATTTTACTCAGCAATTTCTTTTTCTTATCTTTAGTAGCTACCAAATCTTTTGTCTCTTTTTAAAATACATTTTCTGATTACTGAGTTGTAAAGAACTGGAAGGTTTTCCATTTCCTTAATATGATTTTGCTTATCTTTTCTCTGATATTTATTTATTTATTGTGTGTATGATGATGCCGGGGATTGAGTTGGGGCTAGAGTTGTCCTTCCACTGAGCTATATGCCAAGTCCTTTTCATTTCTTATTTAGAGAAAGTATTTCACTACATTGCAAAAGTGGACCATGAACTTGTGATCCTCTTGCCTCCGCCTCTTTAGTGGCTGCGAATACTGGAATGTACCACTGCACTTACCTAATATATTGTTCTTAAAGTTTAACTTCTTCAGGGAAAGTGTATTTTCCTTCACTCCTGTATAACAGGGTGAAGTCTAACCTGATCTCTTAACAAAAAAGTGAAAATACAGGAGTCGTGATCAGAGACTCCAGACTCAAGGAAGCAAGTCACACGGGCAGGGGTAGGACTTTTTAGAATGTGACTTGTTTTCTCTGACTTCCTCTCACTGGAAAGTTCCACTGCAGTGACTTCTTCATGTTCTGCTTTTCTCCTTTGTTTTCCTCTTTTGAAACACAAGCTATCTTTTTCCGCCCTGAGTAGACATTGAACCATTGAGAGACACACGTGGGTAATGCAAGTGCCTGGTTGAGTTCTTTGAACTCTCAGTAACCCTTGGAATTTACCTTCCCCAAAGTTAATTTCTTAATCTATTTTTTAAAGATTAAATTTCTTTTGGTTTTCAACTTATACAATCACTACCCAGACTGTCTCACTGCTACTAATGCGTATTTTAAAAGTTGTGATCACTTATTTCCACTATTATGATACTTAATGTATTCCAGATTTTGCAGTTGTTGCAATCAGTAATACAGTCCATGCCACCCTCATTTAAATAAAATTGTTGTAAAAAAAATTTACTTTCATGTACTTAGCAATGTTTCCTTATTTATTAAGTACTTTTCATTTCCATTACCAACTCATAGCACTATGAAGTATTTTCTTTTTTATAGAGAAAAGTAAGACATAATTTCAATGCTTTTAAGCATTTAGCCAGGGTTGGTCCTTGGGCAGAAAGGATGTTGAAACTAAATCAATGGTTTTTCTACATTATTAAATTTAATTGAAAAGGAATGTATAATGAAGGGTAATTGGTTATTGTCTTTATTTTTGTTCTACTTTTTCATACAAAAAGGAAGGCATAGCATTGGGCTGATTCTTTTTAGAACCTTGGTGGCTTAACATTTTAAGACATTTTTCTCTTTTACTGTACATGAAGAATCCTAGTATGTTCTTACGAGTATACTGGTGAATAAAGATGACAGTAGAGCTTTTAGGAGGAAAATGGAGGTGGGTATCTAGGGTCATTCAGCTCATGCACTGCTTTGTGGGAATTAGAATCCTTCCTATCTTCTTCAAAGATGCAAGCCACACCAGATGGTGTCTTGGTAAGCACAGGATAAGCTAGTTTGAGTGTTAGGGTGCATTTTTTTCAAGGTATTGTAAAAGTAACAGACCTGTGGGTACCAGCCTTCTGATGTCTAGTATCAACACAGAAAGTCCACAATGCAAAATTCAGGTTTTTAGATATTGCCAGCAAATTTCTGATAGTAATTAGGCATTTTATTTCGATGTGTGATTTTCTTTTTGTTCTAAAATCTCTGGCTTGGAAATGTTTGCAACCTCAATATAAGAGTACGGCTACAAAATAACATTGCCACATCAAAAATCTCAAGGTCAGAATTGTGATGTGATTTTTTTTCTCTTTCCTCCCTATTTTTCTTTCATTCTTCAGTTTTTCACTTCCTACTGTGTGCCACTTACTGAAGTAGGCAGATGCAGTCCTTATGCTCACAGAGTTTTTATCTGGTATAGAAATAGAGAAATGAAATAATTATGGTTTGTTATGATGGTGGTAATGAAAAAGTAAGCACAATTTTATAAGTACACAGGAGAGGTATCCACTGTATCTTAAATTTGGGAGGCAAAGTTGTCCTCTCAGAGGTTGCATCTGTGTTGACACCAAAGATTAATAGGAGTTTTCTGTGCAAAGATGAATATAGATGAGAGAGATTGGAGAAGGTGGGAATAGGAGAAAAGGGTGGTTAAGAATGAGAGAATTACTATTTGTTTGATTTGAAGACAAGAAATCAGTCTCTTTGAGAAGTTACATCCATACGGAGGTCAGTCTTCCATCGTTTCTCAGTTCCTGAATTTTCTTTTCTATTCTCCAGTGTATTTGGTCTTGTCCATGGATCTCAATCCCAATTTTTATTTTTAGGCACTGACCCTGTCCCATTTGAACAGGAGGCAGTACACCATTGGAGAAACGGTGAACCTGATGTCTGTGGATGCCCAGAAGCTCATGGATGTCACCAACTTCTTTCACTTGCTGTGGTCAACTGTCCTACAGATTGTTTTATCCATTTTCTTTCTGTGGAGAGAGTTGGGACCTTCAGTTTTAGCAGGTGTAGGGGTGATGGTTCTCCTAATTCCAGTTAATGGAATATTTGCCACCAAGAATAGAAATATTCAGGTAAAGAAAACAGTCATCTTGGGGATATATGTTGGGAATACATGTCTTCTATAATGTCTAAACTCTTAACACTTACTCTATTCTAATTTTTAGAAGAAATTTGTTCAAGGCAAATCTGGCGAAGACTTTCCCACCATCCCCAAAGATTTTCTCTGTCTTCTTTTTATCTTCTGACCACTCTTAGGGTTTATATACTCTTATTTTCTTTTATGTTAGAGGAAAGAGCCTGACTGGAGAGGAAAGGGCAGTGCCAGAAACCCTGTACATTACTATTCCACCTTGATTTGTTGGGCTGCCCTCCAAATGGTGCTTTTTGACCCCTCTTCCCTATCATGGCAATACAAACCCTGCACAGAGCAGAATGAGGAGTGATCCCATTTTCAGTTTAAGTCTCAACAGTCACTTTTGCTAATTCCAGGTGGAAGGGCTCAATGTAGACAGTTCTTAGCTTTGTTAGGTATCACAGGTTGAAGGATTTGTTGGTACATATTTTTATTTACTTGTTTTGTATTAATTTAATTACAAATAATTGTTTTGAAAAAAATTATTACACATTTTACTTTTCTAAGAACATGGCAGTAAATTAGACAAGGCACTTACTCTCATGGGTCTTATATTTTGCTTAGACAGTAAACAAAGAGAAACACCGGATCATGTGAGAAACTATACAGAGAATTGAAAGTGAAATGATAATTAGGTGGGTACTATTTTCAATGAGGAGGTCAAGAGATTCTTTTGAGAGTAGGGATCTTTAAGCCAACCTCTGGAGAACAAAGGTCTGACTATGAAAAAGTGAAGGAAAGGACAGACAGGCAAAGGCCGAAAGGCAGAATCAAGCTTATGTGAGACTTGGAGAGAGATGAATGCTGACACCAGGTACTTCAAATTCTGACTAAAAGCCACCAGTACACCTGAGAACTCTTGTCTACACCAAAACTGGACCCTGTCTCATGAAAGTGTTATTGTTTATATTTTGCTTTTTCCTGACAGTTCAAAAATATGAAGTATAAGGACAAACGTTTAAAGGTCATGAATGAGATTCTCAGTGGAATGAAGGTAAGAATCCAAATGGGTGAAGAATGGTTGAAGGGTGGAGAGGAGAATGGGGAAAAAAGAAGAACCAAGATATAGTATGTACAGGTACAAATTCCCCATAATGAAAGTGATCATTATGGGTATATCAAAAGTGTACCAATAAAGATACTTTTACAAAAAAGAAAAGAAAAAAAAGCCAAATGTATTCATGTCTCTAAGTACAGCAACAGAAGCTGTTAATTTCTTGGCCTTAACAAACTTTATTAGAGGATGTAGATTCCTGCGTTTTGGTGTATTGTGTGTCAGCTGGCTCCTTATTCATTGACCCGCAAATCTCTTGTTTTATTTTCTAATATCTCTCCAAGGCCCTTTTTTTAAATATTGATTTGTATTTATTTAACCAAAATGGAGTTATTTCTGTTTTTACATTTTACTGTACAGAAGTCTAAGCATACATAAAAATACAGAATAATAAAATGAACCTGCATAGATTTATTCCTGAGCCCTAAAAATCAACATCCTGGTTTAACTAGTTTCATGCATATATTCACTCCCTAGTTTATACATGCTATGTTATTTTAAAGGAAATATCAGAAATCTTGTTATTTCATTCATTTTATATTTTAATTTCTAGTATATGTCTGCAGTTCATAATGAATACATTCATCATGGGAAGTTGGTACATGTATACAGTGCATCTTAGTTTTCTTTACATAGCTTTCCCCTCCGTTCCTTACCACCTCCATCTCTTGGTCCCTTACAAATTACTTTTAGAGATTGGCTCCCTAAAGTGAAGTTATTTCAGGATCCCCTGGATAAATGTTTGTTTTTCTTTCTGCATAGTCCAGCTTTCAAAATAATGCACTTTATCCTTTAAAGGTGATCGAGGAGTTCTTTTCTTTACAAAAAAAAGGGGGGGGAATTTAATTAAAGGATTTAGTTTTATCTTAAATTTCTTGACAATGAATCAGAGGACGCTTAAAACTCTCTGATATTTCACAGCTCTGATGTATCTTTCTTCTAGTGTGGCAAAATTAAAAAAGAGACATGGTTTTGAATTTCAGGTCTACCCTGGGAAATTCAGGCAAGTTACTTAGATTTTCTCAGCCTGTTTATCATTGTGCTCATAGAAGTATTGTGCTCATTTCTAACCCATTAGATCCTGAAATATTTTGCCTGGGAACCTTCATTCAAAGACCAAGTCAACAGTATTCGGAAGAAAGAGCTGAAGAACCTGCTAAACTTTGGCCAGCTGCAGACTCTGACAGTATTCTTCTTACAGTTAACTCCTATTCTGGTGAGTACCAGAGGAGTCAGTGCACTGGGAAGGTTTTGGACCTGAGTCAGCTTCCTGAGAAGAAATGTGGATTCCCAGCACCTCTAGACCTGTTTCTGAATCAATGAAATATGTACTCTTTACTCAAACCTTTATGCCATCATCCCTATGTTGTCCTCTCAAAAACTAAGAGCAACTTTGCTGGATATTCACCATGGAAATGGTATCCCAGAATGATTTGCATAGGAGAACATTGATACATGAGCCAGAAAAGCCCAAACCTATTTTTCCCTTTTCCTTAATGTCCTTTCCCTTTCTCTCATCCTAGTTCCTCTTTCCTTTTGAACAACTTCTTCTCATTTTCCAATATCTATTATACATTTTAGACATTATTTACTCTTTCAGTTTCTCATGCCAGGGAGACAATATGATGTTTACCCAAGATGGCAGATTTTGTTATACATATATGTTACCATAAGTTTTAAAATTGTTAATGGGTGGTAGAGTGCATGCTTGTGCTATTGTCAATTGGAGAAGTTTTTATGCCCATATCTTATACCCTAAGCAACTACTTTAAAGGTAGCAACATGTAATATGTTAACTATTGTTCTTCTCCTTTTATTATTATGAAATTTTGTTTTAACTTTTTTTCAAAAGATAAAAAAAGGAAAAAAAAAGAAAACTCAAACTCTGGTCCTAGCACTCCATTAATTGACTTTGTGACCTTCTATGATATATTCCTTCCTCTTATGGGCTCAGTTTTCTCATCAGTAATGTGAAGAGGCTGGGATAAACCCCTAAACTGCCATTAGTCTTGATTATACCATATTCCTGAAATGTAGCACAAGGCTGCTTGGACCCTTTTAGGAATAAATTGTTCTTGCCCTGATTCTTTCCAGGTATCTGTGACTACATTTTCTGTTTATGTTCTGGTGGATAGCAACAATGTTTTGGATGCAGAAAAGGCCTTCACCTCCATCACCCTCTTCAATATCCTGCGCTTTCCTCTAACCATGCTTCCTATGGTGATCTCTTCCGTGCTCCAGGTACATGTCAATTGCTTATCTCTGATTAAAAGCCCAAGAGTCCACAATGACTGGCCTGTTACATCCCATGTTTATCTTCTGCTGATGAACTTTTGATTAGGAAAATCTGTTTGATCTCTGTTGACCAATGGTTTAATCTTAATAAAATGACAACCTCTCTGAGCCCCAGTTTATCTGACTATAAAGTGAGGATAATCATACCTACCTCATCTATCTCACAAGGAGAAAATCTTGTGAAAGCATTCAGTGAGACTATTGTGATTGTCTCTGGTGTTGGCAATTTTCCTAAGCCCCTTTCCCAGCCTAGTTTCTCCCATATTTTTCTAAGACTCTTAAGGTATTGACATAGTATTTGGAAAATATGGCATAAAAGGGCAGAAAAGACTTTCTCTTTGCATGAACCCAAGTGGTAAATAACCAAGGTGCTAAATTTGGGAGCCTCAATCTGTCAGAAAATGAATTTAGAGTTTAGGAAGGCTTAGATGGGCCATGAACAATGTCTGGGTTCTGAAAGCTATGTCCAGTTAATGGAGAGGGGCCAAGGTCCAACTATAGGGGGAAATTCACAGGGAAGATGGAAGACTGATGAGGAGGCCAAAATGTTGAGACACTGAGAGGAGTGCTGTGACCTGCATTCATCCCAGAGGTGGCTAGCTTCAGACAGCTCTGAGGTTGTAGAGATTTCCCTGTCCCAGAAGGTATGAAGAAAGTGTGACCATTTGGCCAATAAAGAAACAACATGTTGTTTTAGACAGCAGTTCTTTACCTAGTAAAATCAAGATGGGCAAAGGCATCAGCTTCCTATATTCCTTGTCCAGCTGTATAACATTGAACCTAAATAAAGGAATCAGATGATGAAACAGCCCTGGTAGTGGGGCATTCCATTTCTGAGGAGCTGACCCACATATCAGGCAAGCAGTTTTATACCCTGCCATGATGCCCTAAGGAAGGGATGGGCAGAAAACCTGACATTTTCTCAGAGGTTTGAGCAGCTGTGGAAAATCTCATGACAGCCTCCCTGAAAGACAGAAGACCCGTGAGGAACACCTTTTGAAAGACGCTCCTTGAGAACTTTCCATGTCCTCATGTACTGGGGATCCCATGGGGTTCTGCTAACACTAAGGTCAGCTAAAGTTTAAGCATTGGCCAGTTCTATAGAGGGTCCCAGTCATGGCTAAGTTATGATACTGGGTGGATCATCAAAAGATAGACTCACTTATTAAAGACAGTGGCTCAGTTGCCAGAAGTAGGTAGAAGTTATGATTTTGTCTTAAGCAAAGTCAGGAGACAATTTCTAGAAATAGGGCCAAAGATTGGAAAGAGATAGCCATAGAGTTAAATCCCTTGAATTTTCAGAAAGGCTGAAATGGAATGTTTTAATTTTCTTTTCTCCAGAGTGGAATTGCTTCCTGGGAGGTAGAACGAAAGAGTTTGTGTTGGCAGTCAGCAGAATCTAGCTGTGGCAAATGGCAAATCACGGTCTGATGACAATTGAAATCCTTTTCCTCCTTGTGTTTGCTGTTGAGTTTTCAACTCTTCATATTCTTTGTGTTCTCTTCTAGGCCACTGTTTCTGTATCCCGACTAGAAAAGTACTTGGGAGGGGATGACTTGGACACCTCTGCCATTCGACGTGTCTCCAATTTTGGTAAATAAATTTGGAAGTTTCTTCCTAAAATTATTCATAGTGCTAGCATCTGAATTTTTATATACAAAGTCTTAGTGTCATCAAATAAAAGGAAAAGTTAAGAAATTAGTCTTGAACTTGCACTTGTATATAGTAAGATATCTATTTAATTTAAATTGCATTTTAACTTGGACTAGATTTCTTAACTACATTGCTAAGAAATCTAGGTCAGCTCTTCTAAGAATAAGCAAAGAACCCTACAAAGAATCCAAAAAGCAGAATTCAAGATGGAAAGATAGGGCAGTGCATGCCTGTAAACCCAACACTCAGAAGGCTCAGGCAGGAGGATCAATCATGAGTTTGAGGCCAGCCTGGGCTACATAGTGAGACCCTGCCTAAAAAGTAAAATTAAATTAAAAAGTGATGGTAGAGCCAAGTTTTGAAATTGGGAAGACACCCTGGAGTGAAAGCACACACAGGAAGTGGAAGACATCCATGGCCAGAATAAGCAGTGGGTCTGAAATCCAGAGTGGAGAGATAAGGAGGTTGTTGGATGTGTATCTCAGGGGTAGAACATTTGCCTGGCATGCACTGGGTCCTAGATTTGAATGTCAGTCTTAAAAAACAAACAAACAAACAAGGGAGAAAAGAGAGAAAGGAAAAGAGGAAAAAAAAACAAAAAGAAACAGAGGGAGGAGCTTATATAAGAAGGTAGGACTCATATAAGGGATTAAGAACAGAGGGCCTGGAAATGTACCCAACGTCTATAGATCAGAATCTGGGTTACAAAATTTAGGACTTCTGAATAACATAGAACATCATATGCTGGCCACTTCTAGTCTCATCCTGGGAACGTTTACTTGCTTCCTGTTAGTAGGGCATCTAACAGAAGTGATCTAGGAGCTGATAGTGAAGCAGTGACACATAAAGGCTACAGAAGAGCAGACAGGTATGTGGGACATGCCACTAAAAGAGAGAACTTTGTTTTTTCAATAGACAAAGCTGTGCAGTTTTCTGAAGCCTCCTTCACCTGGGACCGGGATGTGGAAGCCACAATCCAAGAGTGAGTTGTCTCCTTACTGTACTGTTGTTCTTTAGGATTCTCCTTGCTTTCCCGTTCTCAGAAAATTCCCTATAATAGAATGCATGGGAAAACAAAGTACAGATATGTGCTCCATTAGATACTAGTACAGGCTAAACCTTGGAGACCTTAGCTGAAAACTAAAATCCTGCACCTGTGTCCCTGAGGTTATATTTGCCACCTCACCTCACTACTGTGGGACTGTGACTTTTCAGCTGAGAACTTATGAAGACATTTGTTCTCCAGATAATGGATGGAACTAGTTCAGGGTTGACAGGTAGCCCAGGTCTCTTGACATGCTAGAGGATACACACAAAAATATAAACTCAATTTAAATTCATTCATTTCTTTAAGAATAGTAATCAGGAGCCCTGGAATCTGGCGTTTCTCCCGTAGTGGACAGTGGAACCTGACTGTAGAAGATTCAGTTTCAGATCTGGAGTTTTCCAGCAAAATGACCCATTCTTCCACCTCACTCTGCAGGCCACTTCTGTCATGCTATAAGCCACTCCTGCTACACTGGTGCCCATAGTATGTCTCTTAAGCATTACCTGTAACAGCACATCCAGTTCATCTGCTGAGTATGTCACATCACAAGCAAAGCACTACAGAAGCTCAAGCAGGTCATATCTTTCTTTCTTCATGACCAAGCATACCTTGTCTCCCTTCCCATGACGTCTCACTCTTCTCTCCCATTCCCACAATCTTTAACATGGTCTCTGGGGCCAGCCTCAGTATGAGTGAGTGCAGGAGCCCTGCCCCAAACCCAAGAGTTCCCTATTGCAGAGAGCAAACAGAACACAGCTCCCACTTCCTTATGGTAAATCCAGAAGAAATGAAGCTCAATGGGCAGGTGGAGAAAGACTACAAGCTAGTTTCTAATGTTCCAAATGTCCTAGGGGCTCAAGTAATAGGACTGGTACACCGAACCTTGTGTGCTCCCAAGATTCTACCCTCTCATGAACTCCTCAGCTAGAGAAGTCAGATCGTCAGAGGACAAGCCAGGCAATCTTGTTCCAGCAAGTTAAACATTAACTAAGAAGAAGTAACATTTACTTCTTAAACAACTAGATTTGGACAGTGATTTAGCAACCAGATCTAGCCCAGCTCTGTTAGTTTAAAAACAAAGGTCCTTAGTCCAGAGCAAGTAACCTATCAAAGTCACACAACCCAAAAATTGCAGAGTTGGGGCTGCACCAAGCCAGAACTCTAGGTAATCTTATTCAATAGTCCTGTTGGTCATTGGGGAATTTTTCTATTGGAAACATATTTTTGGCACAAAGTTTATAGATGAATTGAATAAGTTAAGGCTCACTCTATGACAATAAAGATAAAAAGAACATCACTAAAGAAGTACTTTGGGGTCTTATGTATCTAAGACAAATTTTCCTGTATTCAGGGGGCACCTTCTCAACTAGACCCCATGGAGAGTCAGAAAAGTGGCATGAACTACTCTTAAACAGCCATACTCCCCTCTCCCCAAAAAATCTTCAAAAAATATTCTCTCTTTCAGTGTGAACCTGGATATTATGCCAGGCCAGCTGGTGGCTATAGTGGGTACTGTGGGCTCTGGAAAGTCTTCCTTGATATCAGCTATGCTGGGAGAAATGGAAAATGTCCACGGGCACATCACTATCAAGGTGAGGGAGAATGTCAATGACTTCTGAACCTCAACTATGGGCTACTCGGTGGAATCATTTTCTCACTTGAGAGAATACACTAGTAGGGGAGGCCTTGGTGACATCTGGCAGACTTGTGAACTGTAGATTCTCTGCACCATCCTAGGGTCTCTGGGGACAGAGTCCAAGAATCTGCATTTTTAATGGGCTCCCAGTTGATTCTCATGTGCATACTACATATGACAGCTACTGACTAGAGATCACTTTTTTCAATGTCTAGACATTTTCACTGTATTCATGTGTTTCTTAAAGTCTCAAATTCTGCAAAAGTGTGCAATAAAAATAACAGAATCTAGAGGGAAGAGTTAACATATGACTAAGGACTTAATGCCATGCGTGCTGTCACATATCTGTAATTCTAGCACCTTGGGAAACTGAGACAGGAACTGAAATTTGAGCCTAGTTTAGACAATTTATCATGATCTTGCCTCAAAATAAAAAATAAAAAATGTTAGAGATGTGGTTCAGTGCAAAGACCCTGAGTTCAATCCCTTGCAAAACACACCCACACCCACACCCATCTCTACACACGTTAAATAACAAACAAAAACAGTATAAAATCAACACTGGCATTTGCATCCAACATTACAATTAGTCCAGGCTTCTTAATTTCTTTTTTGCAAGCTAAATCTTTGAAGGCATTTGTTTCCAATACAAAAACTTGGCATGGGACGTTGACTTCTTCATCAATCATGATTTTTTAACATAGAGGGAAATGTTTTCAAGGTGCTTTCATGAACACTCTGAACTCCCCCAGAAAGCTAAATTTAGGGTAAATTATGGATATTTTAAAATCATTAAATCAGCCACTTCTTACGCTGAAGAGAGACAAGTGTATATTTTCAAATTTTTTCTTAACATCATATATTGCTTAACAACTTCATATATTGCTTCATATATTTTCCTTTTAAATATGAGAAACCTTGCTCCCAATTCTTTATTTTGACCTAGAAAAATTGGAAAAATATGTTTTCCTTTACAATATATTAGCACCATTATTTACCAACTCCTAATGAATTAATTTGCATTTTTAAGAAATCATGCACTATACCAGAAAAGACTATAGATATGTTTCCTATTTCCTTTTGAGAAGCTTTTTATTGTCAACTCATAACTGAGTTCTTTTTCAAACACAAGCATTTGTCAGTCTCTGTCATTTTGAATATAGTGTTCTCTGTGTTTCCTCTTGTGTGCCACGCCAATCTCTTAGTTTTTGCTTCCTAAAATGTTATCCACTCCATTTCCTAAAGTGTTAGCATTGTGTTATATCTAAGAAACTTCTTGGCTCATACCATTAATAAATACCAAATATTTAGGCAGCCTAGTGCATAGTTCTTTGAATCTAAGTTCTATCTTTTTCTTCATTACTCTTTTTTTTAAATTTTTATTTTGAAAGTATACAACAGAACAAGTCAGAATAAAGCCAACTAAGATCGTACAGTGAAATTGGTACAGAACTTCACAGCAGGTTACCGGGATAACAGTAATAGGTATCACAGTATATTTTGTTATCTTTATAATAGTTGTTCTTTCAATCCCGTATATCAAAATGAGATGAAATATAGGACACTATAGAACTTATCAAAACAGAATATTGAATAGAGCAGTACCATTAATCAGAAAAGAGCAAAACAGTAATAAAAATATTTGCCTTCAAAGAAATGGTAGAAGGAAGTCACCCTTATTTGCTATGGTCAGCCTCCCAGGAGATGCTCAGATTTCTGATTCCCACTTGCTAATGGGGGGGGGGGAGAAAGAGAATAGGGGAAGTGGGATATTTGACTCTAGGCCATGTAGCAGTAGGTTCACTATTGCTAAGCAGGGAGGCAGAATGGTCATTTGTTTTCACAGCGTCCTCAGTTCCAACATGGCATGGATCTCAGGAGACAGTGCTGGTTCTCCCCCTGGAAGGGCTGCAGTCTGCCACCCTGCCTCCGCTTACCAGGGAGGGGAGGTCTCTTCATTACTCTTGCTACCTCATCTTTCAACACCACATTTCTGGAAGTACAGTTGTCATATGGCCTAATCCTTTCCCATCTAGGGTACTATGGCTTATGTCCCTCAGCAGTCCTGGATTCAAAATGGCACCATAAAAGACAACATCCTTTTTGGATCAAAGTTGAATGAAAAGAGATACCAGGAAGTTATAGAGGCCTGTGCTCTCCTCCCAGACTTGGAAATATTACCTGGAGGAGACCTGACTGAAATTGGAGAGAAGGTACTTTAGATAACAAGGACCTTGAAGGGTGAAGACATATTGAAAAAAAAAGTGAGGATGATGGGAGAAATACACAGAAATAACATGGTTGATTGATCTTGGTAGTCATGTTTGGAACAAACACCAGAAACCATATGTTTCCACTATCTGTTCACAGCATTTTTGCACAGATAACTCTGAATTTTTAAACTTGACACCTGGAAGCAAATACAGGTATTATTTATTTAAATGAGAGCTAATGAGAGACTATGCCATCTGCTTCATCTATGTTAACGGTGACTGGCCCAAAAGTTGATCATGTTATTAAATGTTCTTTGTAAAAATATATCCTAATGATATTGTGTCCATTGAATAGATATAGCACAATTCACAGTTAGAATGTTTACATTTTTCCTTCCCATTAATAAAAATGAATACAACAATCTTTTGTGGACAGTAATTTTCAGAGGCTGGGCTAGTGCAGACATAGGCCTGGAATAAGTTTTTCTATTAATTCAGAATGCATTTACTGAGCAACTACTAGGACAGTATCTATAAACTAAATCGAGAAAACCTCTACCCTGCAGCAAGCAAACAAAAATATTAAATAATTAAGTTACATGATAGAAAACACTACTTTGGGCCTGCCTTTGATTTTTGGGTTTAACGTTAGTTATTTCAATCAAACTTATGCATTTGCACAAAGAAACTTGTAAGATTTTTAAGCCATAGATATCTGATTGAGGCAAATTTCTTTCTTTTACTCTTTGTTAGATTCTCTAAAGTGGAACTAGGAAGTAGTATAACTGAAATTATTTTCTTCTTCAGGGTATAAATCTCAGTGGTGGCCAGAAGCAGCGAATCAGCTTGGCTAGAGCTGTCTATCAAGATTCAGACATCTATATTCTGGATGACCCTCTATCAGCTGTGGATGCTCATGTAGGAAAACATATTTTCAATAAGGTCTTGGGCCCCCATGGCCTGTTGAATGACAAGGTGAGAAAGCATTCAAAGTGATGAAGATGTATAGGTATGAGGACGGAATCATGTCCTGAAGCAGATTTTCTTATTTGCTTGCTTCCTGGGCCGCTGAGGAAATACAGTCTCAGACTGATCTCCTTGGAGTCTACCACCTGAAGACTTCCATCATGAGGTTTTGGTTTATATTACAACTGGTCCAATTGAGCCTTATTCTATGGCTTTACACTGAACCTCTTAGAACGATTTTGATAAAAATACTTACCAACTTACAGTTACAATGAGAAATGTGTTTGGTGTTTGTCCCCATTTCCTGGCACAGAATTCCTAAAAATCATGGAATTTCAAGAGCGATAGGATTGCCTTTCTGTTATGCACAAGCCCCTCAAGTCTGAGTTTATCCTAATGAAATGCTTTAGGAGGACTGATGATCACCAACATGGACAAGTAGTTAAAGTAGTTTCAGGCCTACCCAATAACCTCCAGGTAGAAAGTAGGGGTAGAGGGGTTATAAAAGCTCTTTTAATGATAGATTTGGAGAACTTCTAGGTTGATGAGCACATCAAGGTGCTGGGAGGGTAGTGCACAGTGAGAGGGCACGAAAGCTCTGTACCCCTCCCCCATAGCATGTCCTGTGCATTGCTTTCCTGTGGCTGCTCCTGAGCTGTAGCCTTCATAGTAAGCTGATGAAATAAGTCAAGTGGTTTCCTGAGATCCCTGAGGCTTTCTAGAAAATTACAGAACCTTAAGAGGGAGTCAAGCTCATGGCCTGTTGTCAGAATTATAAAGAGCCTAAGACTATCTGCTGGCATCTGAAGTGGGGTACAATTTTGTGGGCCTTTAAACTAGGGGTGTGTGCTAATTTCAAGTAGTGTCAGAACTAAACTGAATTGTTAGACACCCAACTGGGATTAGAGAATACCCCCAGAGGACCCAACAATTCACTTGCTGGTGGGACACAGATCATCCTTCAGGTATTAGAGTTATGCTCTAAGAAAGCACTTTCCCTGGGATGTTTGCAGGATGTGAGAATATCATGCCTAGAAAGGATGATTACCTGAACATAGAAATACTATCTAATATTTATTAAATATTCATTCATATCCCAGACTCATGCAAAGTATTTCCACTGTTTTCTCATTTGGTACTCACAATTATCGTATCAGACAGGATAGGTAAAACGAACAGAAAAACAAAATCACTGGAGCTGGTCATAGGTGAAAACTATGCTTTTGTGGCTGTGGAGCAAATTGGCATGCTTATCCTCACACAGTGTGCCAAATTTCAAGCAGGGCTGACAAAGCCCCTCTGTTGCTAACATAATTTCCCTTGGCACTGGGCAGGGAGATTCTAACAGTATTTGGCCTGTTCCCTTCAAGCTATCTAAGATTCTGAGCTAAGATTGTTGATGATATAGGGGAATTAAACTCTCAACCTGCTGTATGTCCAGCATGAGTTTGTGTTCTCTAAAATCAAAGAATGAATTTTAAGAACCACAGAGGTTAACAGCAGAATATATTTATTGAGAGAAAGAAAACATCTGTCTGGGAGAGAGACAAAAGGGGTACTGAGTGGGCTGCCAAAGACTCTATCTTTGTAGGGACTTCTATAGAGTAAAACCATGAGGTGAGATGGGTCCAAAATGGAGAAAACACGCGAAATGGCAATGTAGGCAGGCCTGAGGTGGGACAGAACTACAGTCAACCAATAAGATTAATGTTCAGATAAAATTGATTAAATCAGGGACAAATGGGGCAGCCAGTGGGCATGCTTAAAGAGAAGTGACTCTTTCTGAAGGAGGTTGGAATGGTGACTCCTGGCTTTCTCAAAGTGATCCATACCTATTTCAAATATCAATCCCTGATATTTGTACTTGAGGTGTGACTGCATTTGTTTTGTCTTTTGTCTTGAGATCTGGCCCACATCAAGAAGTATCTGTCTCCTCCAAGGTCACAGCACATCTGGTCCTCTGTGCTGGCTCCTCCCTCGAGGGCCTAGCCCTGTCTGACTGCCTATAATATTTCTATCTGACTCAGTGGCCTATAACAATATGACTTGGGCTGCTGTTCTGCTGAGGCCTTTTGCCTCTTTTGAATCAGTAGAGCAGCAGAAACTCTCTCTCTCCTATTTCAGGTCCTGGGTTCTGTCTTTGTTAGGGTTTGCCAGCACAATAGAGAAACAAAAGGAAAGAAAAAGTGACCTTTATTGAGGACATGCAGAGAAGTATACAACTCAGAGGGTTGGGCTTTCTCGTCTGCCAGATACGAGGGGTCTGAGCATTGTGTGACCTCTGACTGGAAGTGGTACTTGGGGTGGGTGTTGATGACATGTGAGGAACTGATTGGAATTCTCTTCACATGCGCGGGAAACAAAAGAGGAAGTTGTAATCCAGGTTGAACAGGAAGGAGAAGGAAGTGGTTGTCAGGATAAGTGCTGTTTTTGCTTTGGCCTTCTGCGATGTTAGACCATCACCATAATTTCCAGTAATTTATAATAGGGCAGAAACCTTTCAGTTCTTATTTTCATTAGTTTTTTAACTGAATACTCACCTTGTTCCAGGTACATTGTGCACATATTTGGAAAGGTTTGGTCTTTGCTCTCACATAGTCACAATTTAATAGAAAGACATACAGAAAAGCAAGCAATAATATTACAACACATGAGTTATTTTCACTGTAGCCTGTATAAACTTCAGTGGAAACACTGGGGGAATACCCAAGCCTTACTAGAAGATTCAGGGAAGGGACTAGAAGAGTTGGCTTTGAGCAGAGACTTAAAGGATGAGCACATTCTCGATATTCCAGGTAAGAAGGGTCTAGTCTCTGTTGGGATGTGAAGTACAGAACAAAGGCAGTAGCTTTAGCTTATCTCTCCAGAAACCCATCACAATTTCATAACTGCTAATTTAGCCTCATTACTTACCCACAAGTGTTTATCGTCTATCTCTGAGTGGAGTTCTAGTCTCAGTAGTCCTTGGTGTCAAAAACAAATCTCTGACACCATAGGGGACCAAGATTAAAATTTCTTGGCCACAGTGTCTCTACATACTAAATAAAAAACTCTTGGGTACAATTGGCTAGCTGGTTAAAGAAAGACTAGTGAGGGGCAATTAGTTTTAGTCAATTAGTTAGCTTTGTATGTACCAGTTATAACAATGGGCACTGATAAGTTTCCTAAATTCAATCTTCTGCCATCCCAGGGAATGGAGGAGGGTAAACCTCATTTTCACTACAGGAAAATAACTATGAGGAGATCCATGGTGTTTGAAGCCTCATTTCATAGGGTCAGGTTTTAAGATGTGGTTCTGGAAGGAAGGAAGGGGGATATAAAAAAGGCCAAGTGATCAGAACTACACTTTTGAAGCACAGTCTCAGTGTGAATCGGAACCATGTTTTTCCCTTTTCAGAGTGGAAGGGAGTAGGATGGACACAGGCAGACAGCACAACTGAATCAACATTCACAATTATTCACAACAATTAACATTTTTACAGACTCGACTGTTGGTTACACATAGCATTCACTTTCTTCCCCAAGTGGATGAGATTGTGGTTCTGGGGAATGGTACCGTCATGGAAAAAGGGTCCTACAGTACTCTGCTGGCCAAAAAAGGAGTGTTTGCTAAGAATCTGAAGACATTCATAAGACATTCAAGTTCTGAAGGAGAAGCCATGGGTAAGTAGAGTATTGGGACAATATACAACTTGGGATCTGAGTCCCAGTATCTACCTTCTGTCTAATATCCAAGGAACTTAGATTGGAAACGAATTACCCAAAGTTTCAAACTCTACTCTTCTCAGTTCTGGGTAAAGAAACAAATTGAAATTGTAGGCCTGGGCCAAACTGGTGACTTTTCCCTGCTCATCTGTCTCTGACAATCAAAAAACATTCTTTAGAAGAGTACGATCTAAAGCCTAGATGAATAATCCTTGTGGGAAGAACACCAGTGAATACCAAGCTCTTACTGATTCAAATCACAAATCCTACTCCAACTACTAAAAACCCATTAAAACTGATTTCTAGATGGTATTGTCACCAGTAAGCTTAGGTCCTTGCTTATAATACTAATGGAAAGTAAAACTAAAGTTTGATCTGTAAGAGCAGAAAGCTTTAATTGAAAAGTTAGAAGGGAGATAGGAAAAGACTCCAGTTTAGGTGGCTGGAAAGGGTATACTCACAGGAGCTTCAGACTGGCCGATCCACAAAGGTAGCTGGCCAGCTTTAAGGAATGGCTGGTGGGCTGGGATTTGGTTGATTATCTCAGTTCTGATATCTTAGCTCTGGAACTCTTTTGGTTGAGGGATGAACTGAGGTGGAGCTCTGGCTTTCCTAAGATGCAGGCAATCACAGATTCAGGATGATGGCTAGAGACATAGATGAATGCTCCTGGAAATCCTTCATCCTGGGGTCTTTATCTTTGAAGAGGCTGAGATCATGTAAATTTAGGGTTAATCAACCTCAGTTTGCTAAATGCTAGACAGACACTCTCCACATGATTAGCATATCTGTATGAAAACCTGACAAGGGATTTGACCCACAGTTTTAAGGTAACAAGGATACAACTATGTTCTACTTTTAGTTACCCATTGGGTTTCTATAGGCCTAAGTGAAGAATCATTGTTTATAGCAAAAAATGGCTTTTAAATCCTTGACTACATCAGAAGAAAACACAAATTATGCTTAAAAGAGTAGTAGGAAAGGGCCCAAGATATTCCAGGATCCCCATCTCTCTTGTTTTTTATTACATCAGCATTAACAGTATACTACTAAATTCTTGATAAGCTTTAACAAAAGAATCTTGATTAAAACACGAAAAACTACTGGGTACATGAACCAGAAAAATGACAGCTGCATAGTGTCAGAGTATACCATAGGAACAGTCCCTAATATTGTGACCAATGGACTTACAAATTAACTCTAGTTAGCAATGGTGCCATTATCATGACTCTTTTCAATGACCTGCCAGTAAGGAGTCAACCATAGTGCTCATTTGTTGGTTTTGAGACAGGGTCTCACTATGCAGTTCAGCTCACTTTTGTAGCCCAAGTTGGTCTCAGATTCCAAGGATCCTCCTGTCTCAGCCTCCCAAATTCTGGGGTTACAGGCTTGTGACACCACACCTGGCCTGGCATCCTGCATACTTATTAGCAGCATGTCAGGATTGAGAAAGCAAGCTCTGGAGTGGTACTAATCCCATGAAGGAGCATCTACAGAGCTTAAAAAGTAGGAGCATATTTTGACTGTGAAGTCAGAGCCTCAGGTAGCTATAATGTCAGAGATGCTGTTGATGTTTCAACTTGCTCCAAATAAGACCAAATAAACAGCAGCTTTGTGAGTGGAAGTTTTCAGAGAATCCCAGGCAGGGAAAAACAATGGCAGTTCTCCTGGGCTGGGACATCTGGAGTTTGGAACCTGCTCTGCCTCTTAGGTAGCTGCTAGGCTGCTAGTTTGCTTGGCTACCATTATTTTGTAGTTGTTGGTTTTCTAAGCAATCACTACTGAGAAGATGGGATGGAAATAGGGCAAGTTCAACAACCACAAAGTGTACTATTCTTACCAAGATTTAGTCACTTAACAAAAAAAGGAAGTGAGCCTTTGGGTTGTTGCAACCTATGGATGATTTCAGAGTTCAGAACAAAATGATTTTACTTTTTCTTTTTGGTCAGTATTTACATTATCTTGTTGGAGGAGCACATTTCCAGAGATTCTTAGTCTACCATTCCACTGGTAGTCATGCTGTGCTTTTCATTTGTTTTATTTTTAGGGTAGGTTTTTAATACTCTCAATTAATAAAAGTTTGTTAAATTATGTGACCTTCAGGGTGAAACTTCAGTTTACAATAATTTCTTTAGTCAACTCTTGGTGTGGTGGCTTCTGTTTACCATAATACTTAAAAGTACTTTGCTGCTTCAAAAAAACTTATAATTCTTGGAATTTTTTTTCTGAAGTTTTTAAAAACTCATGTTTTCTTCTGGTAGAATATTAACATGTCTCTCCTCATCATGGCATTTTCTCAACAAGAATACATACTGACAGGACTAGGGATGTAGCTCAGTGGCAGGGTACTTGCCTAGCTATACAAGTCTCTGCATTCAATCTGTGGTACTGTAAATAAATAGAATGAAGTAAAACAGAATAGAGTGAATGCTAATAATTGATATTTATGGGATAGAGTCTTGTCACCTACATCTGAAATCTGTTGTTGAAACCAACCAGACAGAGAAGTCTTCACTTGTTCATAGGACTATGAGAGCTCTGTGCTATTTTCCTAACCTCTGATGTGTTTTGCTAGTCAATGATGGTGTTGAAGAAGATGATGATGACTGTGGGCTGGTACCCAGCATAGAGGAACTCCCTGAGGATGCAGCCTCCTTGACCATGAGAAGAGAGAATAGCCTTCATCGAACTATGAGCCGCCGGTGGGCTATTTATTCAACTGGCAGCCTTTATCCCTGCCATATTTCTATTTGACCACTCTCTTTTTCTCTGTGGGTGTTTCCTGAGAGGGTGGACCCCTAAGGACATTCCTAGTTCTTCCTTTGCTTCCTTGTATGGACAGAAGGGAGGGTTAGGCCGGTGTCAGTTTCCCTTGGTCATCTACTCCGGTGCGTGCTTTGTTGCCAACAGAGTGATTTTGACATGTTCTTGTAAGATACTCTTAGGAAGCATCTACATTCTTAGGAAGGTTTCTCCCTTTCTACCTCTCAGCTCCAGGCCTGGTAGCAGGCATCTGAAGTCCTTGAAAAACTCTTTGAAAATTCGAAATGGAAATGCCCTGAAAGAGGAGAAAGAACCAGTGAAAGGACAAAAACTAATTGAGAAGGAATTCATGGAAAGTGGAAAGGTAAACAACATACAAAGTACAATTTGAGATGATAAGCAGCCTAAAATCTGAAATTTTAAAATTAGTTGAAACTTGAATACATATCTACAGCCTCAATATGTTCTATTGGTTATGAATTTTTAGATTCCTTATTTAAATTATAAATGAGGCTGTGTTTTCCATCAAATATTTCTATGATAAATGATGTTTCTTGTAAATATCTTGATTCTATCCTTCATGAGTATTTGATTCCATTCTAATGTGTGGAGAACATCAAAACTGCCTTGAGATGCAGTTCTAGGAGCCAAGAAACACTAATATATCAGACCCAGAGCATACAATTCAAATAAATTAAAACCACAAAGGCCAAGGTCTGTAGTAAAGGCTCTGTATCCTAATCTGGTTTGATGTCTTTCTGCCTTAATTATTTTCAGGTTTTTTTAATAACTTGATTGCTATTTATTCTGCATTCATTTCAGCATAAATCTGTTATCCTGGTCCAGTTCAGAGGTAGTGACCACAGATCACCAAATTTTGCTATTTGTTATTATCTATATTGTCAGGGGACTCCACTCCTCCTTGTGATTGATTTTTTAGGTAATTCTTCACCTAAAGCTATTAAGAGTGTTCTACTAATAGTAATGGGGCCTTTGCAGGTGAAATTCTCCATCTACATGAAATACCTACAAGCAATGGGATGGTCCTCTATAATCTTCATCATCTTTTTCTACGTGATGAATTCTGTGGCTTTTATTGGGTCCAATCTTTGGCTTAGTGCTTGGACCAGAGACTCTGTCATCTACAATGCCACCGACTATCCACCCTCTCAGAGGGACCTGAGAATTGGAGTGTATGGCGGGCTGGGAGTGGCACAAGGTATTTGTAAAGGTCATGATAAACCTTTTTTACAGAATCTCAGGAAAACTTTTGTTATTGCAGGCGAGGCACAAATTTCCAAGAGTTTTTTGGTATGATGTTGATAAAACTGCTTCCATTTCTAGCTGTATTTGTGCTGGCAGCAACTATCTGGAGCGTGTACGGCTGCAACTATGCATCGAAAATCTTACACAAGCAACTGCTAATCAGTGTCCTTCACGCACCTATGCGCTTTTTTGATACAACACCCACAGGCCGAATTGTGAACAGATTTGCTGGTGTAAGTATCTCAAGGGAGACATGGTGGTATGTTTATATGGTGATGTTCCTTCTATTGCTTATAGGGAGGAATTATGACGCCCTCTCAGCAGACAACTCTTTGGAATTCCAGTTTTTGTGTCTACTCAGCATGCACATGTTTTTTGAGTACTTCCTGTAGGGAAGGACCCTAAGGATGTAGGAATGAACAGCTCTGGCGCTTGGCAGCTACTGTCTCGTGAAGCAGACCGCCAAAGAAATGAGAAACCATGGTAGAATAGGGTAAAAACAGTGTGTATAGAAGCGTTTTGAAAGTCCAAAGAAATGACAGAGAAAGGACTCACCCTGGATGACCGAGGCTAGAAAATGTCAGAAAAACAAAACAGTTCGTAATAGAAGAAGGCAGGGGGGTGGGGAGGGCTGCTGGGAGCGGGGTAGGCAGTGGAAGCCCTGGAGCAGGCTGCTTTGCAGAGGGTGAGGGAAACGCCTAAGTAAAAGCACTGACATACCCAGTGGCAGAGAATGAAAGGAAAATAGAGTAATCCTCTGCTCAGTCTCTGCCTTTGTTCCTGAAATTTCTCTTTGATGCTTTAAAAATTAGCGAGTCAGATACAAAGCTGGTTTCTTTTGTTGAGAAACCCAAAATAAAGAGCAAAATAAAGATAGGTAGTAGGAAGTGTGAAAATAGATCTTTTTCAAATGGGAAAGGGATCAAGAAATGGTGAGAGGGGCCAGGTGTGCAGCTGAGTGGCTCAGTGTCTGCCTAGCAAACACAAGGCCTTGAGTTGATTCCAGTATCAAAAAACAAAACAAACAAACACAAAGGGGGAGGGAGAAATGGAGGGGGATGTAGAGAAGGGATGGAAAGGGGATGAGAAAAAAAAAAAATAGAGATATTCATGTATTAGTTTCCCCACAAGGAATGTAACTGTTAATGTAATCCAAACATGTACTAATAAAAAATAAAAACTGGATAAAAAAGAATGAATGCCATAGGTCTGAATATTGAATGAGAGTGATCTATAATTTTAAGGAGATTCTCAAACATTGTTTCTATCTACTATAAATCTTTTAGCCACTGACATGTATCTATTCACTCAAAAATATTACTGAGTACATTTTTTGAGCCAAATAGTACACTAGGCACTGGGCCCTCAGTAACTGTTAAGCTCATACACAGATGGCTCTCTTTGACGGGCTAGTCCTGATTCATTCATTTATTTTTAAGTGGATCTGAGATGGAAGTTTCAGAAACAAAAGTAGAGAGCAGGCAATTCTAAATTATATTCAAGTGTCATCAGCACAGTTTCTAGTACTCGGCTTGTGGAAAAGAATATATAGACAGTGTCTAGGCTGGGGACATAGCTCAGCAATGCAGCGCATGCCTGGCAGATATAAGGCCCAGAGTTTAATTCCTGGTACCAAAAAATAAAAAAACAAGTGTCTGAGTAGTTTGGACTCTTTATTTTTTTAGTTTACACACATAAGCAAACCCCTAGAGGGTTAAAGGGTAGCTCACAGCCCATTGCCAGGAGTAGGGACAAGACAACCACTTAAAAAGTGGGTTCCATTTGTCCCCTTCCTCTGGGAGAAACAGTAAACATATTATCATTGGAGGCCACTTAAATTGGCTCTTTGCCTTTTCATAGGACCTAAAAGGGAATACACTTTTGTATGGAAACATTTCACATAGGAATTTTATAAAGATTGTTTTTCCCATGTCATTATATTTGGTTAATTGTATAAAAAAGAATATAGAGGTCTTTCTATGAGCTTGTCAGACCACAGTTTTGCTGAGTGCTTTTGCATGAATAAGGAGACTATTGTTAATCATATGTATGTTTTTTGGAGGAGGTGACTCAGACTTACAAAAGTGAGTTTGATCTAGGACCTTTGATCACCAGTGGCTGAATCTTTAAGAGTTAAGAGCACAGGAATACTTGGTGCTCACCTGTAATGCCAGCACCTTAGGAGGCTCACCCAGGAGAACCACAAGTGTGAGGTCATCCTGAACAGTTTATATCTCAAAATAAAATTTTTAAAAAGTTGAGGATTGTTGGGCACATCAGCATACAAGTGTAATTCCAGCATTCAGGAGGCTGAAGTAGCAGGATTGCTGTGAGTTTGAGGCCACTGGGCTACACAGTGAGTTCAAGACTGGCCTGAACTACATAGTGAAACCTTGTTTCAAAAAACCAAAAACCAGCCAACCAACCAAACAAGCAAACATAGCTGGGGATAGAGCTCAGAGCAAGGCCCTGAATTCAGTTACCAGTACTGCTAAAAGAAAGGAAAGGGACTAGGAAGGGAAAGGAGAGGAGAACAAATGGAGCAAATAAGGATGAAGAATCTGTGCTGGGTTAGAACCAAACAATCTGCACAGAACTGATCAGGTGAGCATCTCTCTTCTTTCTATCTTTCCTCCATTCCTTTTTTCTTTCTTCTCCTCCTTCTCTTTCTCCCTCCTCTTCCTACTCTTTCTTCTTCTTTTTCTTGTTCTTTTTGTTCTTCTTCTCTCTTTCTCTCTCTCTCTCTCTCTCTCTCTCTCTCTCTCTCTCTCTCTCTCTGTTCTCCTTGAATGTTGTTATATATTCTATTATAATATGACTTTGGGAAAAGCACATAGATAAATTCAAGAGTCATTCTTAATTCAGAGCTGTATGGAAAGACAATTATCTTTGACCCAGTTTGGGAAACTCCAGAGATAATTTGAGTCATGTTAGTTCTTGCATATAGAATCAATACAGAATCAATATAATCCTCTAAGAAAGCAAGGGAAGTGCAGCCCAAAGTGTAAGGCAGGCTTCCTGGATCTGTTCTAGACCATTCATTCCCCATTAATTTCCCATTTGTTAATTTATTCTACGTGACAAGAAGGCAATGTGGCAGTAAGACCCATCTGTCACCTTTGGGCTTCTTGATTAGAAAACTGACCAGCCAGGGATCACATTTCCTTCCACTTCCCTTTCCTCTTGAACCTCTCTATACTTGGCAGAAGAAACATCTTCTCTGTTAAAAGTGGTTCTTTGCTCTTGAGCGGGTGACACGGTTGGTTGGCTTTTTCTTTTTCTTTTTTTTTTTTTTTTTTTTTTTGTCTTTTTCGTTTTTATCAGTACCAGGGATCAAACTCACGACTGCCCACTTGCAAGGTAGGCGCGTATGCCGCTGAGCTAAATCCCCAGCCCCAAGGTTGGTTGGCTTTTAACAAACAAGTGTTTGTTAAAAGTTTGTTGTGTTACAGGCTCTATCCTAGGTATTCAATAGAGTTAGGAACTCTGTAAAGCTAGAATAATTCAATTGAGTTGGTTATGGGAGAAGGATTTTTACCAGTATAGCTCTCTTAACTTATACTAATTATGAATGATTTAATAAACTTGGTGAATGAGAATAGTGAAAACCCTTACTAAATCTATGGTAAAAGGTTGAAGGATGATTGTTATATCTGTTTGGAGGAACTTTAGAAAATGAGAAAATTACAGAAATTAGGTTGGTTGTTAAGGTAAGCAGTACAATCTATTGCAAATCAGTATCTTTAAAAGATTAAATGAAATTCATTAGAAACACACAACCAGGTTCCTGGATGGTGCAAGGAGGATGTAAAATATCTCAGTAATTCATTGGCTCACCATCTTTCTCAATGGCATTCCTAGGACATCTCCACTGTGGATGAAACCCTCCCTCAGAGCCTGCGCAGCTGGCTGATGTGCTTCCTGGGGATAATTAGCACTCTTGTCATGATCTGCATGGCCACTCCTATATTTGTCATCGTTATCATTCCTCTTGGCATTATTTATGTGGCTATCCAGGTAGGTTTGGCAGTGGCTAAGTCTTAGTTCTCTTTGCTTATAGAAGCCAGTATTGGATTTTCTTTACTGCTCTCCAGCACCTTTGCAGTTTGGTCACTATTGATGGACCCAGGAGCTCACTGGCTACTGTCTGAAGTTCATTGGTTAGCATCCATAGATACATGGTTCACAGCGCATCTCACCCTAACTTGGATTTCTGTTTGGATTCAAGGCCACTTTGAGACTGGCTCTAGACAAAGTCTTGCAATTCAATAAAAACCTCCAAAATGGTTAGGTCGTCTTAGAAAAATCATGCCATAGATGCTTCCTCTTTTAATTTTGAACAGGTATATCTGCTTGGAGATGTCTCTCGACAGGAGTTAGATCACTTTTCACTTCAGGCAGTTCTAATTTCATTGGGGTGTCTGTGGATGTGTTAGGTTCAATTTCAACATACTCTTGGAGGGAACAGGTAACTTAGGAGCCATACTTCATAGAAAAATAAAAAGGGCTTCACGCCCACATTAAAAATTGATGAGGAGAGTGAAACTTTCAGGAGAACTCTTGTGCTAACAGCTGCCTTTGTTATGAACTGTTTATCTAGGGGACACAATCCTGAAGACCACACAGTATGGTATTATGGCCTTATGGCCTGTGGTAAGATAGCACCATTTGCATTGTTCTGTGGGCACACCATCGTCTCCATAACAGATTTTTGACTGTTCAAAACAAATCAAGAAATAAGGGGCAGGATTATTTAAGGAAGCTTCTAAATAAACACTGATTCTCAAATGTGCAATTCTTCCAAGGTTTTAACAAATCCTTACAGAATCAAGGAACACAATATTCCACCCATCATGCTTTGCCCTTCAGGCACAGAGGTTCTGGCTACACCCTACTGCATCCAGTTCCTTCTTCTCTCACTGGTCTGCACACTTCCGTTACTATCTTTACCTTCACATACCACCAAGACAGTTTTAAATGCGACTGTTCAATTTTTACTCAAACCTCATCATTCTTTTTCTGACCATTTTGTCTCTAGACACTTTACATGCCTCTGCATCCTAGAAAACTTTACAAAATCCTTTTCAAGACACTTTCTCTAAGGAGTACAGAAACTATCATCTGGACACCATATGGAGACCTCAGCAGAGAGTGTGGACTCAACTGACAAACTCCTGATGTGGTTTGGAAATGCAAATCTCTATGGCTAGCTTCCCTCCCAACATCAGTCTCCCCAATGTTCTCTTCCTTAGGCCTCTCTTTTATTCCTCTCCTGATTCCTCTGGCCAGTGGTAACACTGCAGGCTTCTGTCTTGTCCAGATGTGGGGTGCAGCCATCAAGAAAGGAATGCTGAGTCGAGCCCCAAAGGAAGAAGTGTCGTGCACGTGACATGATTATGTGACCACTGCTACCCTTTTTGTAGTCAGGTGTTCTGTGTGACTGGTGCTATACTTTTTGTATATTCAGGTGTTCTATGTGGCAACTTCCCGCCAGCTGAGACGTCTGGACTCTGTCACTAGGTCCCCAATCTACTCTCACTTTAGTGAGACAGTAACAGGTTTGCCTGTTATCCATGCCTTTGAACACCAGCAGCGATTTATAAAGTACAATGAGATGGCAATTGACAACAACCAGAAATGTCTCTTTTCCTGGATTATCTCCAACAGGTGAGGCTTCTCCTGGACGTTTACCCAAATGTATGCTTTGGGGTTCTACATGTGTGGTCGGTAGTATAAAACTGACACCAGCCACGCAGCTCTCGTGTGTAAGTAGACAGAAGAAAGTGTGAGCTTTTGAGTCAGAGACTGGTCTCCTGTGTCCACTCTACCGTTTACCAAGCTGGGTGAACTGCCTTGGCTTCTCTAAGAAAAATGAGTTTCTTTGTCTTTTATAATGAAAAAGACACACTCCATCTTGCAGGGTCATGGTGGGAGTCAAACAACATTTGTGTGCCTTTGGTAACCCGTTCAAGTGCTGGGTACACTGAACAGTCCCTATTTACTACCTTAAGAATGGGTATGAGGCTCTCCATAGGTGTGATGCTCCTTTTAGAATGGGAGAAAAAGCAGAAGCTAGAGAGAGGAGAAATTTTAGGTTAAAAAAAAAAAAAAAAAAAAAAAAAAACCTCTTTAGGTAAAACTCTTAAGATAGAATATATTGGGGTGGGGGTTTAGCTCAGCAGCACAAGTGCCTGCCTGGCAAGTGCAAGATCATGAGTTAGATCCCTGGTCCAAAAAAAAAGATAATATATTTTGGAAAAACATTTAATAAACTTTTAGAAACACATTTAACTATTGCTAAGTCTGATACAGGCATCTCCTCAGAGCATAAGAGCTCAAACAGAAGAAGGAAACTCACACCCTATGAGGTGAATTTCTGTTGGGTGCGATCTTTCACCTGTGGCGGGCAGTGGTTACATCTTTGATGGAGAAAAGTCTTTTCAGGAAGAGAAATTTTTAAATTTCTTTTGAGATAAGGTCTCACTATGCAGTTCAGGCTGGCCCTGAGCTCACTTTGTAGCCCAGGCTGATCTCAAACTCACAACGATCCTCCTGACTTAGCCTTTTAAGTACTGGCATTACAGGCATGCACCACCATGCCCAGCTAGGAAGGAAAATTCTCCAGTGACTTTCGAATTATCTTGAGGTGATAAGGGCAGGCTAATGATGGTCAGAGTTATTAACAACGTTCACAATTTAGGAATTTAGTTATAAAGATGTTTGATTCCAAGAGACTTTGTTTTGTTTTGTTTTGTTTATTAAGACAGAGTCCCAAAACATAGGTCAGTTTGTCTTTGAACTCATTATGTTGCCCAAGCTGACCTTAAACTCCTGGGAATCTTGGAATCCTTGGCCTCAGCCTCCCAAATTCGGTGGTCACAGGTGTGCTCTGCCATACTCAGTTTATTTCCTAGAGACTTTTGAGAGGCAGTAGACATATAAGCAAACCCTGTTGGATTCATTGTATTGTATTTATTTGTACACATAATAGAATCATTAGCACAAACTTACTTAAATATATTTTATTGGGGAGAGTGAATTTTTATAGACTTTCTTTTTATCCACACTCTTCTGTTTTCTACCCAACATATTTCCCTGAGATCAACTCACATTCATCTTCCCTCCACCCCCAGCTTCTTCTTTCCTTTAAAACTTTTAAGATCAGACAGGATGGGGCTAGGGGTTTAGCTCAGCGGCATAAGCCCCTGCCTTGCAAGCAGGTGTTTGTGAGTTCGATCCCCAGTACCGATAAAAATGAAAAAGACAAAAAAAAAAAAAAAAAAAAAAAAAAAAAGATCAGACAGGATGCTGGAACCTCTCTCAGTGCTTGCTTTTTAGCCATGCACAAGGACTCACTAGGGCATTGCTTAGCAGTTCAAACGAAGACCTTTAGCATTCACCTAAAGTGCAGATTTCTAAACTTATCTTAGACCCCTTAAAGCTGAGTTTCCTGGGGAAAACTTCAGGAATTTTTAACGTAAACTTATATCACTTGCCTTAGGTTATTCTTATAATTCGGCAACTTTGGAAGAGTTACTTTAGAAAACTCATCTAAAGAACAATCAGCCCTTTTGAAAGGCTAAAGCAGGAGGACTGGTGTGAGTTCAAGGCCAGCCTGGGCCGCATAGTGAGTTCAAGGTTGATCTGAAATACATGGTGAGACCCTGTCTCAAACCTCGCCCCCACATTTTTTTAACTTTCTTTAAAAATACAATTGGATGCTGTTCTTTTTTTTCTTGTGGTACCGGGGATTGAACTCACAACCTCACATGGGCCAGGCAGGTGCTTATGCCACTGAGCTAAATCCCTAACCCCAGTAAAATAGAATGGACTTCCAGAATACATTGAGGTATTCCTAAATCAAACTGAGGCATCGCCTTAGGAGTATAGCCCACTCTCAAAGACACAGATGTAAGCAAAGACTTTATGAACAAAGCTTTTATCACACAGAATCAACAACTGGGTTCTCATCTTACTAAAAAAAAACCTTTGCACAACAAAAGAAACCAACAGAATGAACAGACAGCTCTGCAGAGTGGCAGAAAAAATTTTACCAGCTATTCCTCAGACAAAGAACTAATATCTAGAATATATAATTTTTAAAAATGAGACCCGCCCCCAATTTAAAGACCCAATCTGAAAATAAGCATCTGAGATGAATAGACACTTCTCAGATGAAAAAGTACAAAGGGCAAATAAATATATAAAAATGTTCAGCATCACTGGTCATTGGCAAATTAAAACAACACTGAGATTCTATCTCACCCCAGAAAGAATGGCTGTCATTAAGAGATCAACCAGTAACAAATGCTGGTGAGGCTGTAGGGAAAAAGGAACATTTCTCCACTGCGGATGAGGGCATTAATGGATACAACCAATCTGAAAATCAGTATAGAGGCTTCTCAAAAATGCCAGGCATGGTGGCTCATGCCTGTAATCCCAGCACTTGGGAGGCTGAGGCAGGAGATCGTTGCAAGTTCCAGACCAGCCTGGGATAACCAGGCTGGGCTACAAAGTGAGCTCAAGGCCAGCCTGAACTGCATAGCGAGACCCTGTCTCAAGATGACAAAAAAAAAAAAAAAAAAAAAAAAAAAACTAGAACCAAAGATTCCATTTGAGCAAGCTACACCCTTTGATATCTTCCCAAAAGAGGTAAAAGCCTCATACCACAGTGACATATGCACACTCATGTTTATAGCAGCACAGTTCCTAACAGCAAATCTTGCCAACAGCCCAGATGCCTCTCAATGGATGAACGGATAAAGAAAATGTATTTACTCTGCCATAAAGAAGGATAAATTTGAGACATTTTTAACAAGTGAATGCACCTTTATAACATACTTTTAAGTAAAATAAATCAGACACAGACTTGTTTGTTTGTTTTTGGTACCAAGGATCAAACTCATGACCTTGTACTTGGCAGGCAGGTGCTTATGCCACTGAGCTAAATCCCCACATCAGACACAACAGTTTAAATATCATTGTTTCTCTTGTGTGGGGAACAAAAAGGGTAAATAAGGATGTTAGATATTGGAAAGTAGGAAGAAAATGTTCAAATGGAAAGAGGAATGGGGAAGGGAAAGGGAAGAAGAGAAAAGGAAAAAAGTAGAAGGGAAAATGGAAATAGAGCTTTTGTAAATAAGGAAAGGAAGAAAGTTGACAGGAGACAAAGGAATGGGGGGAAAGAAAATCAAGACATGTAACATACAAGTAAAAATTTCTTATGATGAAATTTGATTTTTATATAATAGCAATAAAATTAATTTTTAAAAAAGCACAGGCCTATCAACTCAAACCTTCTAAGAATGTTCTATAAACTCCCAAGTCTCTGGCTAACGTGAGGGAGGAGAGCTCAGTGAGTCGTCTCTCTAATTGGATTCTCCCACAGGTGGCTCGCAATTCGCTTGGAGTTTGTTGGGAATCTGATCGTCTTCTGTTCATCTTTGCTGATGGTTATTTATAAAACCACCCTAACTGGAGACACCATCGGCTTTGTTCTTTCCAATGCCCTTAATGTGAGTCTAAGGCTGGGAGTTTGGCTAAATTAATATTCTTATTCTTAAATTGATTCTGGGGTACCCAATGTATTTTTGTAACAGCGGGAAGGCACTTGGTGTTTATTGGTGTGAAGAAGGATGAGGGTCCACATGGATGTCTGATGTTAACAGCTAATAGAAGGAAGATCATTTTGGGGGGAGCCTTTTCCTGCCCTGGAGTTTTTTTGTTTGTTTGTTTTTCCCAGGCACTTCCCCATTTGTAAAACACCATCTACAGTTCCTCGTACAAACAGCACTAGACTTACTGCCAGAAGGCCTCAATTCTGGTCCTACTTAAATATACACTTCTCCACCTTTACCTTTATCCCCAAAACCCCCAAAGCTCATCTTGCAGGTCATCTGAACACCACAGTTGAGCAATTAATCTTTTTTTTGTTTTTTGAGACAGGGTCTCATTATGCAGTTTAGGTGCTGGGCTTCAACTCACCATGTAGCCCAGACTTGCCTTGAGCTTGCAGAGATTCTCCTGCCTCAGCCTTCCAAGTGTTGGGATTACAGATGTGCACCACCATACCTGGCTGGGTACTTAATTATTCAGCCACTCAATGCACTGGGGTTATCCCCCTCAACACACACCACCAGAGAAACACAGAATGTCTTTCTCATGTTTTATATATTCTTATAGAGCCTAGCACAGTACTGAGTACAAAGAAAGTGCTAAAATTACCTTTTAGTTTGACTATTTAAATGGTTTCTGAGTCTAAGACCATTTTTAGTCTTTCACACTATTTTCTTTTGTCTCCTACAGATCACACAAACCCTGAACTGGCTAGTGAGGATGACATCAGAAACAGAGACCAACATTGTAGCTGTTGAGCGAATAAATGAGTACATAAATGTGGAAACAGAGGTAAGGAAGGATAGAGAAACCCAGGGAGAAGACCTGTGCAAGTCCTTTGAGCGTCCCTGTGCATCATTTCTTAATATCCCATAAGAGTTCATAGTATTTTTTAAGAGTTTACTTTGTTCTAACTCAAAGAACTTAATTCCATCAAATTTAGGAAATGGTTTAGGGGAAGTCATGTCTTAGAATGTGCCAAGTTAGATGGTGGTTCCATTGTGGAGATCCATAGAACAAGCTTATGGGGTAGGATTTCATCCATTGAGTAAGGTAGGAATCTTCTGGGAAAACAAGTCCAGGTCAGTCAGGTGGCTGGGATCCTACTATTCTGTGACATGAGGGCTGTTTGGCTGAGTTGCCCCTGTGTGTAAAGCGCTTCTCATCCTATCCTGTTGCTAGGCACCCTGGGTGACTGACAAGAGGCCTCCCACAGATTGGCCCAGCAAAGGTGAGATCCAGTTTAGCAACTACCAGGTGCGGTACCGGCCTGAGCTGGATCTGGTACTGAAGGGGATCACTTGTAATGTCAAGAGCACCGAGAAGGTAGGTGGATGTGCGGCCTTATGATCAGAGACACAGAATAGGGAGCAGCTGGACTCTGGTCCTGTATCACTGGGTAAAGGTCAGGTCCCCTACTTTGTGTTCAGGGACAGAGCACCACCACCAGAGGGCAGAATATCAACACAAGATGTCCAGCTTCCCTGCCAGCTGACCAGGGTTCACTTCCTGTAGCCAGGAAGTTAGGAAGAAAATAAGGGAGCGTCAGGCTTGGGGGAGAAGCCTGTTGAGAAGAACAGTGTGGAGGATTGTCCTCACAGAGAGAATGGCTGACTGTTCCTGCCAGTCTGAGAAATCTGCCACCCTCGAACCCTCCAAGGGTTTGAGATCTAGGGTAGGATCAAAAACATCTGGGTGAGAACGCTGAGGTCCAAGTCAAAGTGCAGCTCGCAGTCAAAGGCAGACTTAGTCCTTCGCTTCGCATTCCTAAATGAAGATTAAAAATAATAAGAAGCTATAATTCCTAATGATAATTATAACAACAGCTGCTGCTGAGTGTACACCCATCCCTAACAGCCATCATAGATATCAGCAAGCAATGAGTTATGAAGTAAGATGGAGGAGCCATCTTTCCCTGACATCTGACACTTTTTTTTTCCTACTGTAAAAGCCAAAAGACTTTTACTGTCTTAAAGAACAAAACAGCCAATTGCTGCTTCTTACTACCTCTGATTGTGAAGCACAGGGCTAAATAATTTCCTTAAGAATTGTCTGTTGAATTAACTTGCAAATGAACTTATTCATAGGTTGGTGTAGTGGGCAGAACAGGAGCTGGGAAGTCATCCCTCACAAACTGCCTCTTCAGAATCTTAGAGTCCGCAGGTGGCCAGATCATCATTGATGGAGTAGATATTGCTTCTATTGGTCTCCATGATCTCAGAGAGAAATTGACTATCATTCCCCAGGTAAGCTCTAAAATTTACTTTGACTCACACACTGGAGCAGCAGGAAATGTTGACATATAGTCAATTAGCAGTTAGGGTTCCCCAGTCCACTCAGGCTATCTATGCTAGTTCCTAAACTGCTTTGTTTCCAATGCTTGAATGAAGTTTTTGAATTTTTTGCCATGTTCATTTGTGACTGCTAGCGTCTGGCCACTAGGTGGCAGCAACCCAACAAAAGTCAGAGTAAATGGTTAGCATTTCTATAGCACATGAGAGAGTTTGCAAGACCTTTGCAACTAACCTTGCAAGTTTTGCTGCTAAAGTTTGAAGCCATTAAGCTTTCTATTCCCAGTCTGATATGGTTATGAGGAGGAAATCTGCTTCAGATTTTTACCATCAAGTGGAACACTAATGTACTCTCTGGACCTTTGTGAATAAGGAGGACTATGAAGCTTTTATGTGTCTTCTCATTAGATCCATGTCTCCTTCCTCGCTATGGCCAAGTTTCTCTGGAAGTGGTCTTGGTTTGTCTGTTTGCTTGCTTTGGCGCATTCTTTTCTCTGGACTCTTTAAATGTAATAAACTCTCTGTGGTCAGTATTATCTCATGTTCTACTCTTCCCTGAGCCCTCTACCTTTACATTACAGTTTTGCTTTGGAGGAGTGATATTCCTCTTGTATTTTAAATAGAATCTGTGGCAGATTTGGAAATCCATAAGTGTCTCAAAATGAAGCAGAAACAAAACAAACCAAGGGCTCTTCTTAATCCTGTGCTGCAGTTGCCCAAGGCCTTCAGAAAACCTCTAGAAGCTTGACCAGGACCCAGCTTCCTGCCTAATGAGTCTGTCTCAGGCCAGCCCTAGTACTTCCTTTTGGCCACAAAGAACCACAGGGGTCCTTTTCTGATATTAAGCTCAATAGTTCCTTCCTATCTTGACTTGCAGGACCCTGTCCTGTTCTCTGGAAGCCTAAGGATGAATCTTGACCCTTTTAACAAATACTCAGATGAGGAGATTTGGAAAGCCCTGGAACTGGCTCACCTCAAGTCCTTTGTGGCTGGCCTGCAGCTTGGATTGTCCCATGAAGTGACAGAGGCTGGTGAAAACTTGAGGTAATGTCCCATACCCTAATAGGGTAATGTCCCATGCCCTCATGGGCAGTGTGAAGTGTGTGGGGACTATTCCTCACATTCTTGTAATAGGCAGTGTCTGGTCTTGTGGAATTTTTGCTATATAGGTTTAATTTTTAATGTAGAAAATAAACCCACTGTGAAGGTCATATGATAAAATAGATGCAGAAGTGCTCAGATACTCTTGAAAATCTTTTTTATTGAAGGTGCCCCTCATATGACGTTCCATGAGATGGGTTTTTCAGTGACAGAGAATCATAGAAAGCAGATTCTCAACTTAGCTCTGCACAATAATTGATCAATTAAAACAGACCTGATGCCTGGTACAACCCTGGAGTTTTAATTAACATGTGCTGGGGCTAGCTCAGCAACATAAGCACCTGCCTTGCAAGCAGGCAGTCATGAGTTCGATCCCTGGTACCGATAAAAAGAAAAAAAGAAAAAAAAAGTGTAATTAATGTGTGCTAAAAACAGGACATGGCCAGTCTCAAAGAATACCTGCAGACTGTGAAGGGTATCCCAGTTTGAGAAGACCTGATCCCGGGGGTTGTGGGGATGCAGAGTCTGCAAGGTCCTTGCACATTGTTGAGCTACCTCAAAGCAACACGAAGACTATCTTGGTTTTCAGAGTTTGTTTTACCTTTTCAAACTATTTTGGTATAGTGGTAGGTATGAACCATTAGAAGTTGAAAGAAGAGCTCAGTAACTCCACTGATGGGCCAGCAGCTCTGAATTCACCTAGCAGCCTGGTGTAAATGCCAATTTTAGGGCTAATCCCATTAATCCAAGACTATATTTTAGTAAGATTCCCGAGTGGTTCGTGGGCACACTGCAGTTTGAGAAACACCATTCAGAGCACAGGCTCCTAACTAAGCTGCTCGAGTCAGCTATTGATTTAATAAATTCCAGCACCAGGCTGCATCCCAAGCCACCTGAACCCAAGATGCGGATGATTTAACCCTGGGGACGCTTGTAAGGCATGGCAGTAAATACCATCAGTTTGTTTTCCCCTAGCAACAAATCTAGGAACTAGTAGAACTCAGTTACTTGTCCAAGGCTTTCTGCCTTGTTTTAGAGACAAAACTGTCTAAGGAACATGATGTCTTCATGTGAGATACGATGGTCTTTATCTGATGTAAAAGATCAAACAGTCATTAAATATGTACCAGCATCCACTGTGTGCCAGACACTAGAGATACAGAGAAAAATGACCCTGACACAGCCCCGGACGTCCTAGGAAGGACAGCACAAAAGAGGAGACCGACTTGTGGGAGCAAATAACAGTACAATTAATGCTGTAAAGGGAACGTACAGAGCACGGTAGCAGGATGTGATAATGATGCTTCTGGTTTTTAAGAATAAAAATGACACCAACCTTTTGCCCACATTGAGAGACATGTAAGTAATATAACCAGTGCCTTCACTTCAGAACTGAATTTCAGATCTGGTTTGGGGAATTGAAACTTATATGTCTCTGTTGAGTAATAGAAAATCAGCATGGAGAGAGCAGCTGAAAGCCAGAGGTGCTTTCACATCATTTCCCATAGCTTCTTTGCATAAGTAAAAAGCCCAGACTTCATTACAGAATTTTAGCAAAGTAAAGCTGTTTGTACGTTACAAGTGTATTTGAATTCCACATCCATCGTATCTCACATGAAGACATCATATTCCTTAGACAGTTTTGTCTCTAAATCAAGGCAGAAAGCCTTGACCAAGTAATTAACCATGAGGCTAGAACTATGCATTAAAATAATGAAAAATTTGCCACGACCATAAGAAGTACCACTGGGGCATTCTAGTGGTGCCAGAGAAAATACTGTTGAAATACTTAGTTTATTCCACATTCATGTTGTTTTGAAATTGTTGCTGTCACTGTAACCAATACAAGTCATTCTTCTGGACCAGTGTTTTCAAACGTACTTTAATATGAAGATTCCCTAAAGTGTCTCTTACAAATGTACATCCTTTCCCACTGGGAGTGAGGCCCGGAAATGTGATTTTGTTTTTATTCCCATAGTGACTGTTCTAATTGGGAAAGTTTGAAACACGTTGGAGCGGGCATCGTGAAAGTCTGATCTGGACCGTGAAACTCCCTCAGCCCAAGTGTCCCCCTGGTTGTAGGGACTAACTTGTGCCTTCTTCTGCTGGCTGCAGCATAGGGCAGAGGCAGCTCCTGTGCCTGGGCAGGGCTCTCCTTCGGAAATCCAAGATTCTGGTCCTGGATGAGGCCACCGCTGCTGTGGATCTGGAGACGGATCAGCTCATCCAGCAGACCATCCGGAGCGAGTTCTCCCACTGCACTGTTATCACCATTGCCCACAGGCTGCACACCATCATGGACAGCGACAAGTGAGTGAGGGGCAGGGCTGACAGGCGCAGGTTAGCTTTTGTTGACAGTGTCAGCTACCAATGTGGCCACTTACAGTGTGAACTGTCACTTTACGGATCAAACTGAAGCCTAGAGAGTTGAAGAAAATTGGCCAAAATTACGCATCAAGCTAATGCAAACTAACAGGGCCCAGGGAACTGTACTGAGGGCAAAATAGAAAATTATAATTATTAACTGAGGGTCGGAAGGTGGAGATCCAACCTACACATGGCAGCTGTTGGTCATAGACCTGCCCCACCGCGCTGGGCTGCGGCCCTATGAAATGACTAGACACTGTCTGGTCCTACCTGCCACTTTATGTTTAGAAGTCGGTAATCTCAGGACATTTTGGAGAGGCAAGGCTTCCTTTTGTGACTCAGGGAAAGGATTCCTTTTAAGCCATTCATCCTTAATCAATGTGTGCTTTGAAAACAAATCCTATATACAGAGACTCATACTACGTATATTGCTCTGTGACTTGCTCTTTTGTTCAGCTACACTTGGCATTCACATAGCTGCAAGCTATTTATTTTTGTTGCTTTGTAGCTTGTATGATTATCCTACAACTTAGTCCTGGTTAATTTTATAAATGTCAATATTGGCAATGCTACTTTCTAAACCTTTTTTCCTCTTTGTTTCAGGATAATGGTCCTAGATAATGGGAATATTGTAGAGTATGGCAGCCCTGAAGAACTGCTGGAAAAGTCTGGCCCCTTCTATTTTATGGCCAAGGAAGCTGGCATTGATAACTTAAACAACACAGCACTTTAGCAGCAGATTGCATAGGGAAGAAAGGACCATACAGATCACTTTTCTGTGTGTGCACGTGCATGTGTGTGGAATATGTGCAGAACCATGTATAAAATGCACATTTTTTAAAGCTAGGTCTCACCATGTTGCCAAGCTGGCATCAAACTTGGGCTCCAGTGATCCTCCTGCCCCAGTTTGTTAAGTAAAAATGTATAATTTAGAGGATGGTAAGTGAATAGCCATGTGCCCACTATCCAGACTAAGAAAATGAATATTATCAAGAGCCTTAGAAACCCTTCTGCTCTCCCACTTTGATCATAGCTTCTGGGCACCCATCTCTTCCAGACACAGTCATCTCCTGAATTTCGTGATAATTGTTCCCTTACCCTTCATTTTAGCTTTATCGCCTTTGTATTCATCCTTAAACAATGTGTAGCTTTTAAAAATCTTATGTAAATAGACTCATACGCATGTATTGTTTCATGACTTGGTTCTTTTGTTCAATAATATATTTGAAACTCTTTCATACTTATTCAAATAGTGAAGTTTGTTTTAACTGTTCTTTTGTAGCACAGCAGTATATAAATATACCACAGCTTACCCATTTTAGTGTTGGTGAGCATTAAGGTTATTTATAGTTTTTCTTTCATATTATGAACAACACTATTATAAACATTGTAGTACATATTCTCTGTTATACATGTATAAGGTTCTTTAGAGTATAACTCAGAAATGGAAATACGTTTACATGCACATTCTAGGTAATTGCAAACTGAGAATACTAATTTTAAACAGTTTTGTCCCTCTGATGAATTAGTGTTTCGTTGATGGTTTAGTTGCATTCTCCTGGGTATGACTGAGATTGAATTTGTTTTTTATGTTTCAGTAGCATTTGAATTTATTTGATTTTTTTGGCACTAGGAATTATTTAAATTTATTATATAGTTTTTTAAAAATGTTATGTCTGATAGTTCTAGATTCTTTGCCATTTGTTGTTTTTGTTGGTTCTTATCTATGGTGTTCTATTTGCCTTGTGGTCTTACAAATTTTTACTGTAAACTTCTCATTACCTGAGAACTTAATCTAGTAATGTTTTTTAGGCTTGGGTCAAAGCCAGGTTCTTCCTAAAATGTTTCTGCCCACTGCCTAAGGCATCACTCAAAACCTCTTTGGACTAAATTCTCCACTGAGAGGTTTCACATTGTCTATTAGCATAGCTTCAGACCACAATTCTGCACCAGAACCAGTCTGTGATTTACAAATCTCCAAGGACAGTCCTCTCCTTGACCATAGTAACAGTTGGGAGATAAGCATGAATTTTGTGTTGACTCCCGCGTTCTGCATGGTGAGATTTGTTCGTCATTTGCCCATACATCACAAGTCTAGCTTTTTCAGGATTCAGGTTTATCAGAGAGAACCCTGTTTCTCTCTGCTCTTTGGCAGACCTTGGATTTATCTCTTACCTGAGCATCCTGTGCTATCAACAAAGTGAGAATTCAAGGTCTCTTAATTTTAGAAGCCAGCCTAAGCTTTGCCCCTGTTTTGGGTTCATCATAATCCTTCCCTCCACTCTGGTGACTTAATAATGAATAGTTTTATTTATCCATAGTTTTATTGTTTACTGAGATGCTTGGACTGGGAAACGTCCTAAAGGAAAGATACATAGGCAGAATTAACTTGCATCTGCTTTTCTCTGACAGGTGCAAATTGCACCTGTTGTCTCAGCGTGGAAATAGCTCTCCCTTTCTCTTTAAAACTTGTCAGTTTGGATAATAAAATGTGTTATCATGTGAATTAAGACTTTGAGACACAGTACATGGTGATTAACAAAGTGAAGTTCGCCTGGTAATTCCAGGTAATTGAGATCTGATTTGTCAGGAGCTGCTCCTCTAGTTGACAGGATTATGCTCATCTGTAAACTAATTACAATTTGGCTCAGTTTTCATTTTTCCTTCATCAAATGTCTAATATTTCCAGTTGTGGTGTACACACCTGTAATCCCAGCACTTGGAAGGTTTGAGGCAGGAGAATCACTGTGACTTGAAGCCAGGCTGAGCTATATAGTGAGTTCAAGGCCAGCCTGTACTGTATAGCAAGACTCTGTCTCAGAGAAAAAGAGAGAGAGAGAGAGAAAGAGAAAATGTCTAATATGTCTACCTAGTTAACTCTAGTGTTAAAGGTTGAACAGAATCCTTTGTTTTTAGCAGGAGCTAGAGTAGGAGTACAACTCAGAGACCAAATTTGGCCTTTATTCATTTTTGTAAATAAAGTTTTATTGGTATACAATGATGCTTCTTTGTATTTATTCAATTTTTTTTTTTTTTTTTTGGAACGGGGATCAAACTCTCGACCTCGCACTTGCCAGGCAGGTGCTTATGCCACTGAGCTAAATTCCCAGCCTGTATTTAATGTATTTTTATTTGACTTATTGAACTCTTTGTTTTAAGATATCTATTTGGTCCTGTTAGAAAATCTCTTTATTGAATTTCTCATTCACATCCTACAACTGTGATTACAATTTTATTTTTAAAAATATTTTGCTCATTTTAAAACTTATTTTAGTGCATATTTGCAGTAGGAAATGAATACATTCATCATGAATAGCCACGTATCCATAACACATCTTAATTCTTTTTACTTTCTCTTACCCTCCCTTCAGTCTCTCCCTCTTCCTACATCTCTAGATCCTCTTCCCTTCTGCAAAAGGGTTATTTTCCTGTTTATTTTTCTATTTAAATTATTTATAAAAATACAGTTGAAAGTTTCAACATAAACTAGATCACACAGATAAAAATATATGAACTTAGAGATAAGTATCAGATTCAAAGAATAAAGAGAGCATTCAAATTCTGTGGAATACAATCAAACAACTGTTGACATTTTCAGAATACCCAAGGGAGGGGAGAAAAAAATTAAAGGTATGGAAAACCTAGTCAAAGAAATAATAGCAGAAAACATTTTTAATCCTAGAAAAAATATGGTCATCCATGTACAAGAGGTTTTTATGACCCTAAATAGATGTGACAGAAAGTGTCTTTACCGAGGTACATTATAGTCAAAATGTCAAAAGTGCAAGACAAAAACAGAATTTTAAAATCTGCAAGTGAAAAATCTAAAATCTTATTTCAGGGTACATCCATAAATCTAATAGATTTTTGACAGAGATATCATAAGCTTGGAGGGAAGGGAATAATGTATTTCAAGTTCCAAAAGAAAATATCTGGCAATCAAGATTATTATACACAGCAAGACCTACATGAATAAAGGATAAAGATCTTCCAAGAAGAGCAAAAATGGAATTTATCACTGAAGGATCAGTCTTGCAAAAGATGCTTAAGGAAATCCTATATCTACAAGAGAAAAATATATAAGTATCATCATGGAATCATGTGAAAGTATAAATGCCATTACAAGAGTAGATACGCAAAAGAGAAATAAAAGTCTAACATTATCAATACAGTATACTATAAAACCAAAAAGATGAACAACAGAGGACAAAAACCAAAACCAAAACAAAGAATATTCAAAACAACTAGAAGAAAAGCAATAGAATGACAGGAATAAGTTGTTATAAATGAATAATAAACGTGAATGTATCTTCAATTAAAAGATAGTTTGACTGAATGGATTAAAAACAACCAAAACAACAAGATCCAAATGTATGCTGCCTACAAGAACTACACCTCACAAGTAAAGGCAATGTGAAAGTAATGGAAAATTATATTCCAGGCAAATGGAATCCTAAAGCAAGTAAGAGTAGTTATTTTTACATCTGGCAAAACACACCTCAAGCTGGGCACGGCAGTGTACACCTGTAAATCCAGTATTTGGGAGGCTGAGTCAGAAGGGTTGGTGCGAGTTCAAGGTCAACTTGTGCTACTTAGTAAACTCAAGGCTACCTTGAACTATTCAGTAAGTTAAAAAAAAGTAGATGTCAAGACAAAAACTGTAAGATACAAAGAAAATTATAGTGATCAAGGGACTGATTCAACATGGAGATAACATGCTTGTAAATTTATATGTACCTAATGTTGTAACACTCATTTTATAAAACAAACAAACTACTGCACCTAGTCTCCAATATAATAACAGTGTAATAGTTCAACACTCCTGTTTTCATCAATGGGCAGATCATCAGAAAGAAAGAAAAAACATATCACTACTCACATGCATTTAACACTTATTTACAGAGCATTTCATCCAACAACTGCAGAATGCACATTCCTTTCATAGCACATGGAACATTCTCTAGAATAGACTATATATTGGTCCACAAAGTAAGCCTAAATTCAAGAAACTTGAAATCATACCCTATATGCTTTCTGGTCACACTGAAATAAAACCAGAATTCAACAGCAAAATAAATTTTGGAAATGCCGATCATTACAATTGAAAAAAAAATACAGTAAATGCTGGTAAGGATGGAGGCAACTTTTATACTGATAGTGGGAATGTAAATTAGTACAGCCACTACAGATGTCAGAATGGAGTCAGAAATAGAACTACCACGTGACTTAGCTATGATTTTTCTCATCAGCTCCAGGTCAATGTATTTAGGGAATGAGTGGTAGTAAAATTAGTGGTTTTAATTCTAGAGAGACTGAGAAAGGAAAAGTATAAAACTTCAAGATTAAAGATAAAAGGAGGGTGACCAAATTATAACATTTTTGTACCACCTAAAAATGTAGCCTATTTTTAGGATTTCGATGACTAAGTCAGTAAACACCCTTGCTAAATGATCATGAGCATCATTTTTGTTCCAAGAATAAGTTTTTAAAGTCCTTGCACTTTATTCTTGACACCACTATATATCTTAATTTATCCAAGCACTTACTGGGGTAAAATGTTAACAATAAGCCTAACCTCCTGACAGGATCTCACAGGAAAGTTGGAAACAAAGCCATTCCTCTTTGATACCCTTAACTTCTAAATTTCCCACATGAACTTCAGGCCCAAAGGCTCTTATGACTCATCTCCCAAATTAATGATTTTATCCTCTGTTTTGTATTTTCAACTGTTTTATTTATTATTCAAAGTTAAAATTTTGTGATTTATTCTTCCATATGGCATGAGCAAATGATCTATTTTAAAATACATTTTTATCATGTAACCAACCCACTGTCTTTTTAAAAAGAATAACAAATATCCTGACAACTTTCAAAAGAACAAATTAATTTTATGTCTCAACTTCTGAAGATAAAATGCTAGCGCTGATTTTTAAATAAGCCTTTTTAATCTTTGCAATTTTTAATGTTTTTAAGCTAGATATGCCAGCTTTGTTTGTACATCACAACTAAAATTAATGTTTTCATTAATTCATTCAATCTTGCTCTAAACTACACATTTTCTTTCTGACATACTAGCAAAATAAAATTGAACAGAAGAAGCAAATATTAAACCATAACTTCTCATTTTATTAATCATTATTTCACTTTTTTTTTTTGGTACTGGGGATCAAATTCACAAACTTGTGCCACTGCTGAGCTAAATCCCGGTAAGTCTATAATATACTATAAAATAAAAATACTATATTTTTAACATACTCATAAATTTTATAACTTGAAAAATAAAATTTCCCTTGTAATAAGCTTTCTAAAAAAAGAAAAAAGTATTGTTAAATCTGTACTGTAATTTTAAATTACGGGATGATAGGTGAAGAGTAAGCAACCCTCAAAAAAGAAAAAAGAAAAACTGGCTTCAGTTCTGGGGAGAGAATGAATGTGTTTCTGCTTGCACACAGGATAGGTAGGTGCATAATGATGAGCTAGTTATTGTATGTGGAGATTAAGTATGATTTAAGGAGCTGCGTCTGGTTGTCAAGTTGACAGGGATGGACTGTGATTGTCAATTCCAGTATGTCAACTTGACTTGAGTAGGAACCACCTAGCACTCCCTGCTCCCCACCACTGCCACCCCATCACTGGGAGACTGCAAGGCAAGGTGCAGGCACCACCTGGACTGACCCAGTAGGAACCCTGGAAACGCCAGCACAGAGTTCAGAGTTCAACATCTTCCACTCAAGTGGGAACTCGGACTAGCAGTGTAGTTCACTGCTTGAGTGCTTACTCAGCATGTGTGTGGCCCTGGAATGGATCCTGGATCCCACAGAAAACCCAAACACACACAAGTGGGTCAATTCTCAAATGCCAGTCAGCAAGGAAATTTTTCATACAGCAATTTTGGAACAACGTTGAGTGACACGAACCCTCCTTGCTGCTTAAAACTTTAGGGTTCCGACAGGATCAAAGCTATCTTTTGCTGTCTCATAGGTATCTGGTCCCAGCCTCCCTTGTGACTGGTGCCTCAGGGCCCAGGACCACCTCTAGTCCCACTCTGAAATGTCAGAGGTAGCCCATGAGAGGATAAAAAGCAAAAGGAAATGAATACGTGACTTAGGACGTGTATTTGAAATATATAAAGAAATCTGACCCATGCCTATCACCATGTACTAAACTAAAATCTAAATGGATCAAAGATCTGAATATTAAAAACAGAAAGACTAAATCTGTTGGAAGACAAATTAGGTAAAAATCTTGATGACATAGGGGTAATCAGAGAATTCATGAACAGGAATCAAACTGCATGGGAAATACTTCCCAGAATCAATAACTGGGATCATGTCTTATTAAAAAGTTCCCGCATGTCAAAAGAAATCTCCAGCATAGTGAAAAGAAAACCCACAAACTAGGAAAAAAATCTTAATGAACTGTCCCTCAGACAAAGGACTTCTGTCTAAAACATATAAAGAATTTAAAAAATCAGACCCCCAAAATTCAAAGACCCAATCCAAAAATGGGCATCTGAGATGAATACACAGTTCTCAGATGAAGAAATACAAATGGCAAATAAACACATGAAAAAATGTTCATCATCATTGGTCATTAGGCAAATGCAAATTAAAACAACACTGAGATTCCATCTCAATCCAGAAAGAATGGCCAGGCTCAAAAAAAGTACCAACAACAAATGCTGGAGAGGCTGTGGGGAAAAAGGAACTCACCTGCACTGTTGGTGGGAGTGTAGACTGGTGCAACCACTGTGGAGGTCAATCTGGAGATTCCTCAAAAAGCTGTACTTGGAAGTCCCATTCAACCCAGTTATTCCACTTCTAGGAATATTCCCAGAAGAACTGAAAACATCATACCACAGTGATATATGTGCACCCATGTTTACAGCAGCGCAATTTGCAACAGCCAGATCTTGGAAACAACCTAAGTGTCCATCAACTGAGGAATGGATAAAAAAATTTTGGTTTTTTATACCATGGAATACTACTCAGCTATAAA